GTGCATTGTTTATTATTAAGTTTAATGGCAATAACACTGTTACTGTATTTTCATAAATATTTATATTTTTAGTTATTTGTTGGTTTCATATTTTTTGCCGCAGAAAGGATCCGATTTTTGACCCTGATGACATGCAGGAATGTTGGCACATGGAGGTCTATTGCGACCAGTTTGGCAAAAAATGTTTTGAGTTTGTCTGACGCACACCGACTCTATATCGCCCCCTGGAAAATTCAAATTTGCAAAGCCTATGGGAGCCAGGCGTGCATATTTTAGAGTAGGTACACAAAATGCAGATCAGTGATAGATCTCAATGATAACTTTCTTGGAGCCTTGCCCTGGGACCAACAGGAATTCAGCCAAGATGGTCCGAAATTTTGCCGCCAATTTCACTTTTCTTTTTTGAATTCTTACTAGTCCTTAGTTTTTCATCAATCTTCTACCATGTCATTTCCCAATCTGGACGGATTTAAGTTATAATCTCTCTCACCGTTTTCATTCCAGGCAGCGGTGAATTTCACATGGTTTTATAACCTTAGGGCCGCAATATCCAACCTGATCACCGGTGGTGCACCCGTTGAATAAATGACATTCGGAAATTGCTGTTCTGAAAAAAGTTGAAGGCATCTGCACTGTGACCATAGACTGTAAATATTAACGGACGTAGTCACGCCTATCTCCGCAGTTGACACTAATGGTGCTTTCAGACCGGATCATGCGTTGCGTCGGGTTTCAATGCAAAGTCTATGGTGACGCGCGTTCGGCCGTCGCAACGCGCAGACCGCTTGGTTCGCACGAACTGACTGTTCAGTAGAGACGCACGGACTTGGCGGGAAAGTGAAAAGGGAGGAGCAGGAGCGAAAAATCGACGCCCACAGGAGATGGATTCTGCTCATCCTTTCCTTGAGACGTTCGTGCGACAACCAATCAAAGAGCAGCAAAGTGGTCACGGGGACATTAGCGGACTGAGCGAGCAGACCGAAAATACTCGTAAACAGCCAAAACAGGACCCACACCAGGCTTCACCAGAACTCAAACCAGGGTTGACAATGGGGGACTCTGTGCTTGTGAAAATATGCGTTGTCATGCTCCCGTGACCTTATGCAACTGCTTCGAGTGTGTTCGCCGATGCGGAAATTCCGTTTAATAATAGGAAAAAACGTATGGCGCACCTCCGTGAACACATACTACTGTTATATAAAGCCGTGGAATGTCTGTGAGCAAAGACACGCGGCAAAGCTGCATATTGGAGAAGATCTGTACACAAGAAGCCACTAGCATAGCTCTGTTAGCATCAGAGCCGGCCGGCTACTTCCGGTACTTCTGGCTCGCGTCAGGACGTTCTGGTGTGAAGACCCCTGCGTCTGAAAACTAGAGAATGCGCGTCTGGTGAGCGGGGCTTCAGCGTTTCAGCGTTGGCACCTAATGGGGTTTTCATACCGCCATCACTTTTGCCTTCAATGGGGCTTTTTCAAAAGGCCGCGGGCAGCCCCTCCCGCGGGAATAAAAAACAAACTCATTTGCACCTGCGTTAGCCGGCACCAACACCATTCATTTAACAAGTTCTTTCTGAAGTCCACTATAGCTATACTAGAGTGGTCCAAAAAAATATCCTTCCCTCAGCATTGACACGGTTCTGGAACATAGCTTTGGGCCAAGAGCCGGCTTTTGGACCATACTGCAAAGCAGTTTTCAAGAGGTAAGAAAACGCCATACATTGGATAATTCTCTTTCTGGGTCCACTGCCACAGGCCTGGAGTGGTATTGCAAGTATGTCAGCGCATGTGCTCATGGACGTGCTTTTGAGTCGGGACTAGGGTTGGGCGATATGGGCCTCAGCATGTATCACGATGTTTGTTGGTATGTATCACGATATGACGATATGATAATTTTAACAAAGCCTCATATAAAAGCTATAAAAACTTAGCACTGATAATTTTAAACACACTTGCCTCAAAGTGCATTTACTGATTTATTGGCAGCAAAATGTGTAATACAGCTATTGTATATAAAACGTATTAACAAAACTGAATTGTAGAGAATTCTGTTTTGTACATACTGAAAATTGCAGGCAACATGTAATAAAGGTGAACATTTGTAATTTGTAAAATATATAAAAGTTTGTCCTTTGTAATATAAAGTGTAGCATTATCAAATAATTATTTGATCACTTTGGCTTATGTTTCCTAATCCCAATATAGTCAAAATGATCAAATACTGTATATATTTTTTGTATCCTTTTGCGTTTCTATAATTATGTAATTATAACTTATTTGTAATTATATTGCAATGTAGACAAACACATGCATTGAAGTAAAATGAATGACAGTAAACAGTAAATAAAGCTTACCAATGGCACTATGAGAGAGAGAGAGAGAGAGAAGCAAGCCACTCCAGTCCAGTTGTTTAGGGCAGCTGCTTTCACAACATTAGATCCACTGTCGATAGTTACACACAATTGCTTCTTTTTATCTAGTTCCCAAACTACTCCCATATGTTTGAGGTAGCTCCGCATTTTGGCACAATGTCTTCTACAATCTGCATGTCTTCACCATGGTCTTCACCGCCGCCCTCAGCCATGTTTGCTCTCTGCTCTGTTGTTGTTGTCCCTGCACGCCGCTCTGCTACACGTGCCTCGCAGATGCATCATCAAAGTGCGCCGCACACAAACGTGTCTTCTGCTCGCTGTTTTCAGTGTTAAATGATCGTTTTCACCGGTATAAGGCATTTTCTTATCATTTAATTTACTTATACCGGTACAAAAAAAATATCGCCCAACCCTAGTCGGGACCCGCCCCCATTCCGGGTCAGACACTTTTGTGTTAGGGTTAGTTGGTTGGAGATTGTTTTATGCTCCATTTACATTATTACTGTTTCATAACTGTGATGAGCGTAATGGTGTGAAAATACACACTCAATATAAACTCTACAGTTCGCTCCCAACATGTTCCAATCTGCACCAAAGTCGCAGAGTCAAATCTTTACATGCATACAAGCAAAATATTACACTAGCAGAGGGTGCATGCCCCCTTGAATGGTTCAAGGGGGCCACTATGGGTGCATTGGATCCTTTAAATGAGCTTTTTTGTGTGTAATTCTGGACCGATCAGGCTGTGAATTTGTTGGCAAGTACACTGCATGACGCTTTTGGGACTGGCGCCTGGGAGGCAAGGCAAGGCAAGTTTATTTGTATAGCACAATTCATACACAAGGCAACTCAAAGTGCTGCACAAGCATTAAAATCATAAATAATCACAGAACATTAAAAAGAAAGATAAAAATATAAAATACAAAATATTGTATGCACAGCTAAACAGAACTGTTTTTAACCTGGTTTTAAACATTGTCAGAGAGGAGGCCTGTCTCACATCTTCAGGAAGATTGTTCCAGATTTTAGCAGCATGAATCTGAAAAGCAGCCTCCCCATGTTTAGTTCTGACTCTGGGCACTAACAGGAGTCCAGTCCCTGTGCTCCTCAGAGTCCGGGCTGGTTCATATGGGACTAACATGTCACGAATATATTTTGGTGCGAGGAGAGACTTGTACACAAGCAGAGCTGTTTTAAAGTCTATTCTCTGAGTCACAGGAAGCCAATGCAGAGACCTGAGGACCGGACTAATATGGTCGTTCTTCCTGGTTCTAGTCAGGACTCGAGCTGCTGCATTTTGAATGTACTGCAGCTGTTTTACAGCCTGTTTGGACAGACCTGTGAGCAGGCCATTGCAGTAGTCTAACCTGCTGGAGACAAATGCATGAATAAGAATCTCCAAGTCTGCTTTACACACTATGTTTTTGAACCTGGCAATGTTTTTTAGATGGTAAAAATCTGCTGATGTTACTGATTTGATGTGGCTATTAATTAGGTAGTCACGAGTGTGGCGAGGGCTTTCATGCTGCTTGCGGATTTAATTCATAATTTTTTTTTATGCCTGGTCATTGATTTAATGTGCAGCTTTGGTCCGCCAGCCACTCTTGTGTTTTTATTTCTTTTTCGCGTGCCCCCTCTGTCCCCCCCAGAGGTCAGTCACCTTCTGTTTTTTTGTCTCAAAGTGTCTGTTTTTATCATTGTGCCCTTATTTACACTCATTATGTCCGTAAATTGTCACATAAGTTAACATTTGTCTCATCTATTATTTGTGTGTTCTAACACTCCAGATGTTGACCTGCCCTGCTGTCTTATTCACATAGTCCTACCACATCTGTCCTTGCTCTACAACCTGAGTCCTGCGCTGCCTTGGTCCTCATTTTGTAGATTAAGTCCTGGATCTATAGCCTTTCTGTCCGTGTGGAGATGATCCCTCTCTCAATGTGGACCTCTCCGAGGTTTCTCACTTTTCTCCTACTTGGTTTTAGAGTTTTTCCTTGCAGATGCAATAAAGACTGTGTAGATGATCCAGGACACTCTTAACAATCTACAGTACAACTTTTATGGACATTTATCAACATTCATGGACATTTGTCAAACTCCCCTATGGACCAAAACATATGTGCTATATTTTTTTCTGTTTAAAAATGTTTGATTCTCTGATCTGTGTAACATTTAAATAACACAATGCAGAGCGGAAAATTGCAACCCTGCTTCAATAGCTCATGATTTGTATGTGTGGTTCTTCGTTATACTTTTATAAGAGTATTTAACAAATTCATTGATGTAACTAATGCATTCAATAGTTTTATTCTGAGCAAAATTAGTTCAGTTTTTCCTTGGATTGAATCAGTCCTGGATAAATGAGTATGAGTAAGTATAGAAACAGATTTACATAATTACACAGAACCCATACCCTGTTGCATGAATGTGAGTGGGTGATTGGATACTTGATTTTTCAAATCCCTTGAAAAGATAGAAAAGAGTTGTACTAATGTGACAACCAATTTTATTATCGGCCTCAATACGTAAATCTGTTGACCCTTAATATCTCGGCACATCCCGAGTTTTAATGTTTGTACAGAACTCTGAAGGAGTTGGTAATTATGTGCATTTTTACTGTTCTTTTCACCAGACTTATCCAAAAACAGACTGGCTGACGTGCCTTCAGAGGTCTGCCAGCTGGTGGCGCTGGAGAGTCTGAGTCTGTACCACAATTGCATCCGGACGGTTCCAGACTCGATGATCACCCTGCAGTCCTTGACAAACCTCAACCTCAGGTCACTACTAAAACCATAGACAATATACAAATGGACAATGCTAATCTGCTAGCTCAATGAACCCCTATAGACAAGGACACATGGACAAAGGCTCCTATTGACTTACATTGAAAAGCAAACTCTTCTAACTCCGTAACCGTTTGTGTCACACTCACCATTTTAGGCTTTTAACATATGTTGTTTAAGTGCTCTCTATGGTCCGAGTTATAATATATAGTGATATTGTCTTTGTAAATCCAGATATGAGCTATAGATTGACCAATGTCTTCATTCCCGGGGGAAACTCCCATACACATTTGCTGGCACATTAGGACTAAACAACTCTCTGGAACTCCCACAACACATCAGAAACTCGGATTCACTTCAAATCACTGCTCAAAACTCACCTGTTCCAAACTTTATTGTTTAATTTAGATTTTATTATTTTGTTTCATATTAACCTGTCCTTTTTTAAAGCGTATTTGAGTGTGCAAAAAATCACTGTATAAGTATATATTACTTATGCAAAACATCATAATTATGATTTATTACATTTACTGTATATTCTAAAGAGTATCACCGTCTTCTCCAAACCCACAACATGAAGCATTAGAAAAGGGAGGAGGGACAGTGAACGGAGGAGACGGTCTCCAGCAGTCCATGGGTATATGCTGAACACCTCATTTTACAACCGCTCTCCGTTGTAGAGAACTGCATGGTCCCTGTGATTTTGTCGTTGATACATATTTTAAGCTTCTCTCTAAACCACTTTTTGTCATCAGGGGTTCACTCTCTTGGTAATGTTTGTCAAGTCTTTACAGTCTGACTGTTTGTTTGCCTTTTGCCCACCAACCACTTGCATAGACACAAATGTGAACAAACATCCTCCTTTTGCCCACCTGTATGTATAATGGTCTCTCCCCTGTCCCTCCTCTCTGCTCTGCCCTCTCTCTCCTCTCCTCTCTCCCATCTCCTGTATATTACTTGTATGATATATTAATCCGTCTCTCCTCTCTTCTCCAGTCGTAACCAGCTCAGTTCCCTGCCGGCCTGCCTGTGCTGTCTCCCCCTCAGAGTCCTCAACGCCAGTAACAACAAACTGGTGAACCTGCCAGAGGCCATCGGACAACTGCACAAACTCATGGAGCTGGTGAGTGTGTTTAAATTACTTTAAAAATCAACTTTAACTTTTTGCCATGTTCCAAACTCACACTAATGTACACAAAGCCCTGGGTCATCCTGAGAATGAGCCGTTTTAGTTAACATTGAGGTCTATGGGGACATCTTCTTACAGTCCATTTGGATTAAAGCTGCAGTGCTGCGAGTTGCCTCTTGTCCATGTGGAGACGGGGTTAAGCAGCAACACCCTCTAAATAATGTCATACATCCAATGGTGTACTCTCACACCCAGAAAAAGTAAAAGAACAGTTTTCTATTTCTAGACCAGACACCACAGATTGAGAACTAGAAGCTGCTTTAAATTCACACAAAAAAGCATTATACACTTGTGATGAGGAGCCTGTTAAAGCTGGGGTACCCCCCCACCCACTTTAACTTATGCATGTTGTTTGTCCCAATAGGAAGAGGCTCATAATGATTTCAAGAAATCAGACCTCAACATGCAATCTTTTGTGTGAAAAATTGCCCTCTGTGAGTCACTATTTGATTCTTTGGGTCGAAAGCTGATTAGATGAGTGAGGATGGTCCTCTACTTTTCTGTCTGAAAAAGCTGATCTAAAGATGTGACACCAAATACAAATGCATTTCACTCGGGTTTTCACCCTATTTTTGCTGTGTTTATTCATTTAACATATAACTATGTAATAAATCAGTCTTATCATTCTCAAATCAGTTTTCTATCGCTAGTTTTATGTATTTTTAAATCCACTTTTTCAGACAGAAAAATGAAAAAGAGAAGACCCCCCACTAAGCCAATCAGCTCTCAGCCCAAAGAGTCAAATAGTGACTCACAGGGCTATTTCCTACAACATTTATGGACATTTATAAACATTCATGGACATGTTCTATATCTTTTGAGTTTGAACTATTTTAGTCTCTGATCTGTGTTGGCGATTTCAACAATTTTGTTAAGTTCTCTTGTCATCCATCTGTAAGTAAATACTAAATCATGTGCAATGTGCAATACTGCTCCTTCAGAATGTCACTGAACAATGTCACTTTACTTATCTGCCTATTATCCTGCACTATATGTCCAGTATATAACTCTGCACTACTACATATATATATATATATATATATTTTATTATTCAAAGACTGGTATCGAAGCATTTATAGCATTTACAGATAGTTATGTAATACAGCTACTACTTTTTTTGTATATTTTGTGTGCTCCCTGTGTGCTCATACTACTGTCCTGTCTGTGCGCTGCAACGTCAAAATGTCCCCACTGTGAGACGAATAAGGGAGCTCTTATCTTAAAGGAATAGGCCACCGTTTTTACATACTGACATGTTCTTACCTTACCTTAGACTAGTTGATATGTACCTACCTGTTTGCATGACAGAGCGCACGGACAAAGACCAGACAGGTACATATCAACTAGTCTAAGGTAAGGTAAGAACATATGTCAGTGTGTAAAAACGGTGGCCCATTCCTTTAAGCCCTATTTAGACGGGATTAGTTTTACATGGGGACCCCTGGTAATTTGTGATAATCACGGAGAACGTCTGAGATCTGACAGCGCATTCGCACGGGATAAGCAATGTCTGTAATTTTCACTGACATAACGGCCGCGCGGGTCTCTCCGCTTCACTCGGCCTATAGAGACTGGCGTCTGACCACAGCAGTCACAGGTACCATGAGGACAAACACATACATGTGGATTTTACTGCTCTACAGTTCTCTGTAATGTACTTTCTGTAATGTTTAAACTATACTTTTTGTACGGATTACCCATGAACGCCCCACATACTCTGCTAACATACGCGCGACCCGACAAATAGTAACAGCTGCAGAAACACGTCTGTACTGTATTAGGACAGAGTGCAGGGTAATTGTACAAACACAACCCATCGGTCTGATCATTTAGTGTCAGTGAACACATTACACTGTCCTCTACTCTTCTCCAGAGACCTCACAGAGACAGCAGCAGCCGGGACTCTGCAGGTGTACACAGCCGCGATACAAGACTCCTCTGCTCATTGACAAAAACATTGCAGAAAGTAAAGAGAAAGAGGCAATAGCGATCACAATCACTGACATGCAGATTTGCATGGGATTAGTATTATCAGAGGACGTCTGTGTTTGGACAAATACAGGAGGTAATTTGCGGCGGAATCGTTACTTTACAAATTGCAGACATGGCGCATTCGCACAGGACTCAAATCTCAGACGTCCTCTGCGAGTATCACAAATTACCAGGAGTCCCCATGTAAAACTAATCCCGTCCGAATAGGGCTCTAGATTACTACTGTTGTGATTCAGGGCTATACAAGAATATATCGGAATGAAATTAATTTCCTAGTAAAATTATTTCTAATCAGATGAAGACAGCATGTTGAGGTCTGATTTTTTTCCAACATTTTACTTTTACCAGGCTTTCCGCTGTACAAACACGATGTATTTATGAAACCTTAAACAGTGTGAACTCTCTTCCAGACTCTCATAGAGACTGGAAAGGCATAAGGTGTCCCCATTGTGGGACACGCGCATTGTTTTTAAGTTGACACAGTTACCGTTGCGTCTTGTCTTGTGCAGGTTGGCTGGCTACCGTGACAACCCTAGTGATAGAACCATCAAGAAACTAGTGACATAGATTTTATTACATCCATTTTTTTGAGGGTTCTACTTAACTTTTGTTCATTAGAAGAGGCCTTTTCTCCCATATTACAATTTGTAGTTTTGTTTTCAGAGCAGAAGTGTTTTGTGTTTTCAGGACGTGAGTTGTAACGAGATTACTGCTCTGCCTCGTCACATCAGTCGCCTGAGGTCTCTGAGGGAACTGAACGTGAGGAGGAACCTGCTGTGTGTGCTGCCGGACGGTCAGTCACCCTCACTGTGCTTTGAAACTGACCAAGACCAGACCTGGGATCAGGACAAGACCAAACCCAAGACCAGAACCAAGGACCAGACCCTAACTCAACCCAGACCTGGATCAAAACTGACCCAAATCAGATTAAGGTTAAGACCAAACCGAAGTCCAGTGCTTGATTTAGAGAACACATTTATGCTCATTTGTGGTCCTCTTAACGACTATGATTTTGTTTACTTTATGCCACAATATTGAAACCACACATTGACATCACCAGTGACAGATCCGTATTTGTTCTTAGATCCATCCGGAATATCAGGAATTTCTGGCACAAACATATGTTACCCTGTTTTCTGCCCAAAAGCTCCTGTCTCAGTCCCGGAATAGCATGATGTCAATGCACCACTACTGCCTTTTAAACAAAAGTATTGCCCGTTAATTAGTTTGGGTAACGTCTCAGATGAAAAGAGGTTCTTTACAATCCCATGTATGTGATTGCAACTGGGAATTTTCCAATTTGGCAGACAGCATGTTTTACCATTTATGTTTGTTTCACCATATATTTTCTACGGAAGACATTTCACATTCATGGTAAAAAAAAAAAAAACTTTAAAACTCCCTGTGCAGGGACAGATCTGAAGCTATAAATGAGTTCAAGTGTGTGTCATATTAAACGCCAGCGATGAGTTCCAGATCTAACTCCACCGCACCCTCCCACCACTCCCACGTCCCAAAATACATTAACCATAGACCACAGCAGCACACTCAAGTCACTTTTACCTTTAAAGCAGAGTTGTGTGGAATAGATGTGTTTTTTCACCATGTCACAATGTCACAACATTGTACCCCATCAAAATCAGACCTGAAGTTGTGTTTAGCTCCATCCCCATTGATATCAGCAACCTCTAACAAACAGCTCTAACATGTTTGTGCCAGTTAGTCATCAAATAAAAATGGTCAAGGCTGCAATTATTATATTGTTATTTGCAAAAAACAATGGAACCAAAGCAAAACATCTCTCGTATTTGGGAAATTGTCTTTTGATTTAATTTTATGATTTGTTAATGGAACAAGTATCTTTGGTTTCTCTCTCTGTTCTCACTCTGTACCCTGTCTCTAGTCTCTCTCTCTTGTCTCTCTCTCCCTCTTGTCTTTCCCTCTGGTCTCTCTCTCTGGTCTCACTCTCTGATCCATCTCTGCTGGTGAGAAATATTAAATAAGATATTGTGTTGTGTGTTTTCTCTCAGACATGTGTGAGCTGCCGTTGGTGAAGTTAGATTTCTCGTGTAACAAAGTGTCGACAATCCCGGTGTCGTATAGAAAGATGAGACATTTACAGAGTCTGAACCTGGAGAACAACCCACTGCAGAGTCCTCCTGCACAGGTACTGCTAATGCTAATGCTACTACTGAGGCTGCTACTGATAATGCTATTGCTAATTCTTCTACTACAGCTACTACTGCTGCTACTGTTGCTATTGGTGTTAATAATACTGTCAATGCTGCTACTGCTCCTTGACTTTGTCTTGGTCCTCATTATTTCCTATGACACAGACTCCTTCTGTTGCAGATCTGCCTCAAAGGGAAAGTGCACATATTCAAGTACCTGACGCTGGAGGCCTGTCACAGTGACAAGATGACCGACTCTCTGTTTCTGCCCAGTGTGGAGCGGATGGGCCTGACCCGACCCATCACTGGCAGGTAACTGCTTCTTCCTCTCGAGTGCTCTGGTCTATCTCTGATCTAAAATGGTTGTACTATAGATTAGAATTCTATAAACATTACCCAAGCTCGGTGATCCAAGATGGCGCCCTATTCAAATGAATGGCTTGTGCTCAGTAGCGCATGGGACTTCACGGAGACCGGGAGATTAGCAGAACTCACCTATATTTGGGCATCGTCTGGTCCTCCCGGTTCTGCGCAGTGGACGAGCTCCCAAGATGCGTTGCGCCAAATACGCGTGTGTGGCTTTCATGCACGTGCACAGAGGGGCTCAGCTGCGCTTTGACCAATCAGAGCTGCTGATCAGAGCAGCAGTAGAGCGGAGTCAGAGGGGGAAGGAAAGGAGCAGAGTTTGTGGCAGTAAAGTGTGGATTTAAAGAAAACAGAAGGATTTAAGAAGAAAAAAAGTTCAGGATGACAAGGGATCCCCACAAAATCTGATATTTTTTAAAGCTGTAGGTTCTCTGTCAGTTGAGGTCGAGGTGTTGTGAGTTCTATGGGACTTTTTTCTGGGTAGCCCTCGTGAATTTAGTTTGCAGTACCACAGGCTTATTATAGATCCATGACATTACCACTGCACACTGACACTATAGTGTTGCAAGATTACGTTGATTATGAAAATATATCAACGAGTCGCCTTTAGAACCAAGTCTTCATTAATATGGCAGTAATGACATACTTGATCTAAACTCCAGTACTGTGTTTCCACACAAAGTGCAGGAATACATGTAATAGACCCATGTTACAGAGAGAACAAGAGAGAGAGGTCCTTCTGACGAAGAAGGAAAAAACAAACATATGAATAAAAATCCTTTATGTATCCCCAAAAAAGCATCTATAGATAAATTCAGAACTGATTGGAATTGAGAGGGTCATGGATACAAAATGTATTTGTATGTACAATGTAGTTAGCCAAGCTGGCTACAGCTATAGACAAGGATGGGCAGTGCCCACCCAAATGAACAGCTTTCTGAGAAGCTTCGTGCCAGATTGAGGACGACAGTCTTTACATCTGTGAACTTGGAATCAGAAACAAAGCTATCTAAGTAAGTAAGTAATCTTTATTTATATACCGCCTTTCGCAGACCAGAGTCACAAAGCGGTTTACAATTGTTATTTTGGGGCATTGGTCCACTCACTCCACACAGAGATGTGCATGCATTTTATACTAAGCCACATTTGTTTAAAAAAACTCTCCAACTCTTTGTGTGGCCGTTAGAGCTGAAACGATTCATTGAGTTACTCGGATACAAAAAATATTTAAGTAATTTCCGCTGCCTTGAGGCTTCGTACAGTTTGCCTTGTAAATCGTAGTCAACGCTGACAATTTGCACGGATTCTTTGTGTTGCACAACATGTTCACATCACAGAACCTTCACTTGTGTTTGCAACACTTTCTTGCCGACATAGCTCCATATAGGGCTGGGCAATATAAACGGTATAAACGGTATGACATGTAAACAGTTTGTGTTGTTACAGATTATATTATTGATTAGTGCTCATATGTATCAAGGATTATTACGAGAAATGGCGGAAAAAAGGCTCAGAGAAAAAAAAAACTTTTAGTAGCCGCCCAGCTAGCGCCCAGATGCGTTCAAAGGCAAACGGAAATGAGGCAAACACATAGACAGTTTAATTCTTGATTAGATTCACTGTACTTTACTTGTTTAACTAATAAATAAATGTGTATGAATGTACAATACGTGGATAAATTATTACAATTGTTTATTGCAACAATGAAACTTACAAATGGATGGTTTTATGGCGCCCTCTCGAGGTCACACACTAAATGTCAAGGAAATGCTAAAAGTATCAAATAAATAAACCTTATTCAGCTCTAAAATTGAATTTTAAAATAAGCAACAATCTTGACTATTTTATGCAAGAACTTGCTAGACCTATATTGAAATTCACACACCAAAATATTCCGCAATATATACCGTTTACTGTCTGTGTCCCAAATTATACCACAATATGAATTTTTTGCTCCATAGACTGTACATTGCATCATGGACTTTACATAGCTCCATAGACTCTACATAGCTCACAATGAGCACTCGGTAAGAGCAACAGCACAAGTTGTCCTGAGTTTGGAAACACTAAAATTAAAGGAAAAGGCAGTAGTATGCACACATTGCAAGATGGTGCGAGCACACCACGCTCACATACCATGTGAGCGTGGTGTGATGCAAAAATGAAGCTCTGAACACACTGAGGCTTTCCTTGCCAGACTGAAGCCTCTGTGCTAGCTCAGACTAGCTTGTAACACTGATATCTAGTGGAAAAATGTGATCATTGCAGCTTCTGATTAGTTTTTCCAAATTTGGTTCCATTTTCATAACGTTTCTTTAACCTTAGCTTATTAAAGGAGCAAGTATTAAAGTCTGTATATTCTAGTGCAAAAAATATCAAGGGGTTTGTCATTTGATATTGTTTATTTATAATTAAGCCTTAATTAAGCAAAAATATGATATTTGATTGATTTAGTTCAGAGATGATGGTACAGTATCATACCATTATCTATGGTGTGTGCTGCTGGGACCTGAGGTCTGGTCTCTCCTGAGACACAGAATCTAGATCAGGACTATCTTTTCCTGTGGCCCACTTCAGTCTCTGCTGCAGCAGAGAAACAACACTCTGGTCTGAGCTTAGAGATTCAGCTGATGGAGTTGTATTGAGTTTTGACATTCCTGTTAGTTTTGCTTCATCCATGTTGATATCAGCGACTTTCCCCCCAAACTAGTTCCCTTTTTCTCACACAATGCTCTGTGTCTGCTACGTCATAGACCAGGGCTAATCCACTTGTAGATAAGATAAGGGAACCTTAATTCGTCCCTCAGTGGAGAAATGTCAGTGTCATTGTTGCACATACAGAATATAAGGAGAAATAAGAGCACTCAAGTTATGGACACATAAAACGATATCTATTATGTAAAATAACAGATGATAAAATAATAGACAATAAAAAAAGCTTAAGCTATTTTTTCCCAAGATTACAAGTAATGTTTTTTGTGGGAAAAAAATGCCAAACCAGGGCAAACTATGGACTAAAACAGGATCACGTTTTACATACAGGACATATTGACATCACTGTACAAGTACACACCATAGACCTTATATTAGGAGTGGACTGATGTCACCGTAGTGTTAGTCATAGTGTTGAAGAAGCAGATTCGAACATTTCCTCGGCTGCGTTAGCTTCGGCTGTCAGACTGTACAACAGACCTGGATGAGTCTTCTGCTGCTGGACAGCGGAATTTCTCCTACGGGGGATTGAAGAAGATCCTTCTATGGCTCATATTTCGATTTGCAAAGACCGTACATATAAACGCCACTGATTTTTAACACTAGCAAACCCATGGAGGTGCCATTTGGCACTTCTACCTAAAAAGCCCACCACGGTGCCAAATGACTCCAAGGATTATAGCTAACAAACTAAATCACCTGTGAACGGCCAACTTTGTTATGTAAATAAGGCCATTATAACAGGCTGAGCTGAAGTTGCTCAACCACTTTACTTTGTCTTCTTCGGGAGAGGGAGGATCTGATTAGTTAAAATGAGTTAAATCTAGTGTCATGCTGACTTTAGTTAAAAAATAATAATGAAAATAATAAAGTGAATTGAAAGAAAACAAACGAACAAAGTCATTCAATGTATACATTTACATTGTTTACAAAATAAATATGCTACTTACAGTTTTTCTCAGTGTCTTTGGTGCATTTATCACATAATTCTTCACATTTGCACGACAGTTAGTGCATTTATCAGAACAATTAGTACAAACTGCAAAACCTTGGGGATAACCTGCAAAAGTGCGTCACCTTCTCAAAATGAAAAGTTTATTCCTCAAAAGCAAGTCTTCATGTCGAGGAAACTGTCTGTCTCAAAATAATAAGTCTTAACAACATGGAGTATGAACAACACAGTCAAATGACTTCGTCACGTTTTCATTGTGACACTTTACTCTCTGTGTTTTCAAAGCAAAAAATCTGATCTTGGTGAGCACTGTACAGCTGAAAACTACAGTCAAGTTACACACAACTGTATTTAGTGAGAGTAAAAGAACATTTATACTGTATGTACTGTATGTGTGTGTGTGTTTGTGCATGTATGTATTTACTGTGTGTGTGTGTTTGTGCATGTATGTGTTTCGATGTATGTCTGTGTACTGTATGTCTTTCACATATTTACTGCATATGCTCTTTTCTACAGCATTGTGCAACAGAAATACAGTCACATACATAGAGCAAACATACAGAATATCATTATGGTAGAACTGTGACGAATGTAAACAATAAAACACACACCTCGTCATGAGTGAAGCTGAAATTCCAAATTAGGAAAGATTTTCTGGATATAAAAAGATAAAGTAATGTATGAAATTAGTTTGACAGATTTTGGTTTTGAACAGTTTTGTATGTGATGACCAAAGCAATGAAATGAGGACTACTGGTTTTACAGAAACTATTCAGTCGTGAAAAGTATGTTTCATTCTGATTGACAGGACAGAAGCAAATGTCAATGTTATAAAACAGCAGAGAACTGTATGAAAGTAACTGATACATGTCCAAAACCATTTGTAAAGTGTTCAAAGGAGAAACTGCCGCGATGATGTCACACACGACTCAATGTTGTGGAGGTTCTACCGTAATGATTTTTTGTATGTTTTTCTACGTAAATACTGTATGTGTACTATTTTTGTTGCAGAATGCTGTAGAATTGCAAAGAGCATAAGCAGTAAATATGTGAACATACAGTACATACATATGTATCACTAAATACAGTCACAATGAAAACATGAATAAATCATTTGACTGTTGTTCATAAACACTGGTGTCAGGACTTATTCTTTTGAGATACAGACAGTTTCATTGACATGAAGACTTTCTTTTGAGGAATTAAGTTCATTTTGAGAAAGTGACTTTTTAGCAGGTTATCCATGAGGTTTTGCAGTTTGCACTCATTGTTCTGAGAAATGCACAAACTGTTGTTAAAATGTGAAGAATTATGTGAAAAATGCACCAAAGACACTGAGAAAAACTGATTACAAAATATATACAGTGCATTCTCAGGGTACACAGCACATGTGTATCTGTGGTCTCACAGACTACTCTAGTACTCTCTTGCAGCTCTCCCTCCCCCGCACGAATAAACAAAGCCCACCCCAGCCCCCTGCTGTTATAAGTCATTACCTACATTTGCAAATCAATACATGCAAATGTTAGCAGCCAACCTAGCAAGTTAGCTCCTTCTTCTCAAAACAGGGGCCAATTTCGGTTGGGTTTTCTAGTGTTAATGCGACAGGGCGACAGTTGCTCAGTTGGTAGAGCATTGGCCTTTGAGCCTGAAGGTCGTGGGTTCGAGCCCACCATGAAACCTTCTCCACCGACTCCCACTGATGCCTGCCGTTGTGTCCTTGGGCAAGACTCTTTACTCCACTTTGCATGAAGCCCCTGCTGAAAGATCAAGGCTATGCCGTTGAGTGGCCATCCTCCTGTGGACTCACCACTTGCAGGAGGATCAGTGAGGGGCTGGTGCCATGTGTAATGGCACCCCCCCGACCCAGTTATGGATTAAGGGGTAGAAAATGGATGGATGGATGATTTTTAAAGCAGAACAACTTCTTGAAAAAATTCCCTAGTGAGCTTCATTGAGCTAGCGGGTTATCATTGTCCAAGTGATACCTGATCAGAGGAGGCGGGTTTAGCATGAAAAAGGTCAATCCCCTTTTTAATGAAACTAAAATTTAAATGAAACTTTAACATCCACACTGTGTCCACTGTGTCCAGTGTGGAGGACATGGAGCAGCACCGGAAGCTGGACTCGGACTCTGGAGTGGGCAGCGACAACGGAGACAAGAGGCTTTCGGCCACAGAGGTGAGAACAGAGACAAGCCACCCTCTGAAGCTGCTTATGAATATCATGCATTTATTAATTTCAGAATGACAAACACTTCACAAAAACATCAAGATCTAAAACAATCAGAAAAAACATGTTTTCCTTATACATGATGATCAGTATCTGTCAATCTCTGGCTGTTGATAGGTGTAGTGGTTCTCTTGGCACCCCCTCTGCGGTTTCCCAGTAAGACTTGCTCTGGTAGAATCACTAATTATGTTGTTAAAGCACTAAATTAACGCCATTCAATCAATCACAGTGCTTGAGGATGAGTTGACAATGATGATGATTTTGATTATCACAATTATTATTATTATTATTGCTATAATATTGTGCAACGCGGCGGCTAGCAGTCGCGCTTCTCAGCAAGAAGGTCCTGGGTTCGAATCCTGGTGCCTATGCCTTTCTGCCAGGTTTCCCCAAACATCTAGAGAGGATGGCGTAGTAAAGTATGGCGCTGTACTATGCTGCCAACTGCTCCTGACAGATGCCCTAGGCCTATTGGCATTGCAGGAGGGGTCTAATGCAGAGGACATATTGCCCTACGTACCTTTATTATGAATGAAAAATAATCACAACTTTGTTTTGATGATCACCTATGAGGACCGACTCTGGTTATGTCCCTTTTAATAATCGTACCATGTGCTATTTGTCATGAAAGCCTCATTACAATATTTATTAGAAAAAAAGCTTTTATTATAAAAGCTACGTTTGATATTCCTATTAATGCTCACAGTAATAAAAGTGTGTATTTCTGTTTTTAGCCGTCGGACGAGGAGAGTGTGAGTCTGAATGTTCCCATGAGTCACATCCGAGAAGAAGGCTTCAGTAAAGAAGGCCTCAGCAAAGACGACTCCAGCGACCAGCTCAGCTCCATCACAGGTCTGCAGCCTCAACCCACAAGACTCCAGATTCATCTCCCTCTAATCAAATGTTTAGCCATCAATAAATCAACTCTCAATTCTGGTCTGTCTCTCTGGCATCTCTGGTCTCTCTCTGGTTTCTCATTTCACATAGAAAATCCTTGTAAAGTAGTACTGGTCCTCTGTTGCAAGTTTTAGAACCAGGAACTATAAGTGGATTTTCTAACCTAGTTCCATTGTTGTGCCTTGAAAGTTACATATATTTAACATACATACATTTCATGTATTTCATTATTGTATAAGTACAATGTTAAGTACTCTAACCGTATAATGCATAATATTTCTTCTTTAAACCACTCTGAAATCTGGTCTGGATCATGACTGCTGGTGTACAGTCAGTTAGACCGCTCTACAATCTTCCTCTGTCCCGGACTTGTTTAAATCACTCTGAAATCAGGTCAAACTTGAGGAGAGGAGATGGGAGGGGTGGAGAGGGGAGGAGAGGAGAGGAGAGGAGAGGGGAGGAGTAGAGGGGATAGAGGAGAAGAGCTCCATCAGGTCATGCCAGAACGTTTCACTAAACTCAATTTCATGGCTCTGATCCAGGGGTGTCCAAAGTATTTATCCAGGCAATGACAACAGGAATTGTTTTGACAGATTCTGGGCTTTAAAATGGGGTTGGATATCTTGTCTTGATAGTCTGTATTAAGTCACACCACAGCTTTTGTTACTCACTGGTCTCTCTCTCTCGCTGATCTTTGGTCTCTCTCTGATTTTTCTACCTGGTTTCTCAGATTCAGATTCAGATTCATTTATTTGCCATTTGCAGTAAAACCACATTGGAAAAACTGTGCAAGACTACCCCGGTGTGCACCAGACAGAGAAGACGACACACACCAGAGCTCTTGCCACGGCGCCATCTTTACGGCGCCATGCGACAAACAGTAGAATAAACAGCAGAGAGCAATAACATACAGTTTCACAGACAGTTGGATAGACACATTGTGCTTTGTATAAAGCACGGATTTTTTCTCGGGATGAGCACCTCCGACAGCCGGCCAATGTGGCTGTCAGAGGGGGGCGGGGTCAGGGAGGGGGGTGAGTCGGAAACACAGTGAGGAGTGGAGGGGAGGGAGGGAGCAAGATGGATAGGTAGAGGGAGGTGGGGGTAGGGGATCCAAGCTGGAGACTGAATAGTGTGAGTTGTTGTAGATGGGACTTTTGTTATTATGGCCTTGGCCGAGGAATGTGAGATAAGAGCGGAGAGAAGGCACAGGAGGAGAAAACACATCGCCTCAGGGGGACAATATTAATGCAATGTAGCAGTTAAAAGCAGGCAGATATTCTATTAAATCCAATTAATCCGAATTGCGGCGCCCTCAGACCCCGTACACAGGGGCAAATCCAAGCCGGGTCAGAGAGTTCAAGCCTGGCAAACGATGTCATTCAATCTCAACTCCAGAGTTTTATTCCCTTCGAGTGAACGAGCTGCGAGATCTTTTATCAACTGTTCCACCAAAACCACTCTCCTTTGTCCAGACACGGCGCTCTCAACCACGACGCGGCTAAGCTCCTTGTACATCCCATCAATTTTGTCGGCCAGCAGGTCGTGAATCTTGCGAACTGCCATGCCTCCGAATTTGTGGTAGAAGAGGATCGCTCCAAACCCAAACAGGAGGATTCCCACCACCAAAATGCCAAAGATATATACGTCTTCCGAATCTTCAATGGACAGGGTCGACAGACAGAGGGGCTGAAACTTGTTCCAGCTGTCAAGAGTATACCCCGCTGGTGAAGTCCCGTCCGGACACACGGGCTTTCCAGACCCTCGCTTACGTGTTGAAAAGATAGAATCAATTGCGTTGAGGGACCAGTTAATCATTTCCATTCTCTCTGGTCAATCTCTCTGGGCTCACCTCACTCTCGGGTCTCTCCGTTTTCTATAGTCTATAACTCATCTGTTGAATATTTTTTGAATGTGTATATTATGAAGGCATTTTAACCAATTGAATACCTTTATGTATTTGAGTTTGTTATTGTCTGAAAATAAATGTGTGAAAATAGTGATAATGATTTTATATAATTTTATTACATAGTCTGTTTTTTGTTGTCCGAAAGCTACGTACCCCATCTATAAGAAGCAGGGTTATATAAATCTGTAAGTTTAATTTATTTATTTCTCAGACCCAAACTCCGACTCGGTCCGTCTGATCGAAGAGAGTCCTACGGAAGCCCTGAGCGACCACTTCTACAGAGACGCCAGTCTGAGCTCCAGATTTGTCAGCTACATTAAGGTAACTCGAAACTGCCGCAGTCGCGTTTCTAGTGTTTGGGCCCACAACAACAAGTGAAAGTAAACATGTCACCTGGTTATGAGTAAGTGTTGGTAATCTACCTCAAACGTGTGTTCATATGTCAAAGTTAACAATGTACGAGCCATAAATTTGAATTGTTAGTTAAAGTCCCGGTCTAAACCATTTCAAAGTAAAGTTTCAGAGTAAAAACTGAATTTGGTGTGTTGGCACCCTCTACAGAGTTAGACATTTATGAATGTTTCACACAAGTCAGTTTTGGATCAAAATGAGACCCACTTCTTATAACTGTGTTGCCAAAGCAACGTGTTTTGTTATTTGGAATTTAACCAAATCTGCTAAAACAATAGCTCAAAGGCCCGTGCCATATTTGTTAGTGTGTTGTCATGTGAATGACAGAAAGACCCACATTTTAATTAATGGAATAAAAACATTGTCAGCTGCAGGATTCTAAAGCCTCATGGTTTTTGTCATGTATTTGGGTAAATGTGTTTAATTACATTCCTTTTATTTTGATATTGTCATAACAATAGGTTTCATCTAATAGTCAAGAGATCCACAGACTCCACCCAAACAGAAGCTCAAGGCTGTTAAAGTTCTTTCTACTGGCCAACATCATACCCTTTGAATATTGTCACCACTTATAGACACAGTTTATGAGAAAATAATGAGACCATAGTTGTATTTACTGACAATGACAATGTGGAAGTTGTTTCTTACATACAGAATAGAATATAAAATATTTCTAACCTAAGACTTACCATAGTTACCAGGACACTTTTTTTCAGCTGCTCTCCACCACAATGTGTAGACTCTTTGGAATGTACTGATGTCACATTGGAATGCACCAATATTGTTTTATGGATAGTATATATCTGCAAACTCTAAAGAAACCCAGCCTTTCCTGTATCGCTCTCCTCTCCTGTACACATCGCTCATTCCTCTCTTTCCCCTCTTACCTCCAACTTAAAAATGCATGTGGTAAATGGCCAAATGCATGAATAATGCGTGCAAAGTGCTATTATGTAATGTTACTTTTGACATTTTCCGCCTTGTTTTGAGACTGAGTGCTTTGTTTTAATGTGAGCCTGTTCCAGAATGTCAGCGTGCATTTTTAATTGGCAGCAGCAGCTTTTATAGACTCGGATCAAAGTCTTGAGACCCAGACACGACCAAATAAGGAATAAACACCACAAAATCAGTGTAGGAGGAGGATGAGGAGTTTTAATGGTGAGGGATGAAGGAAGCAACTGATGCACCAATTTTAAACCTGTTTGTCATATTCAAGTCTATGGAGAGATGTTTAAAGCTGGGGTATGTAACTTTCAGGCCACAACAATGGAGCTAGGTTATAATGTCACTACTACTTCCTGGCTCTAAAACAATTTGCTCCTATCACTAGTACCATGTACTTCTGTCACAGATTTTTATCAGTTTTTTCAGACACAAAAGTGAAAAAGAGAGGAACGCCCTAATTCAGCCAATCAGCTCTCAGCCCAAAGAGTCAAGTAGTGACTCACAGGGCTCTCTTACACAAAAGATAACAGGTTTTCTAATATGAAGACAACTTGTCCGATTTTACTTTTACTCTTTCTATTGGAACAAGCATGTGTTTTTTGTCGAGGTTTCTTTTTTTTCATCATAAAAATAATATATTTATGTTTTGTATATTTTTCAGTAGTGAGAAAGTCCCTGTTACAGTGGGCTCATTGTCCTGCATCTGGAGATGGCGGGTCCGTCTCTGTGGATCGGCCAATCACAGAGCAGAGACGGGCAGTTGGCCTTGTGTCTGTTTACATTTCTATTGTTTTGTTTTCAGGGCCGAACGGCAGCAGACTTCGATGAACCGCTGAGGATAGAAGAGGACGCTCTCTGGACGCCACAGACGTGAGACTGTGTTTTATTGCTGTTTACAAGTGGGCTTTCATAGGGGTCTGCTTTCGGTGAGGTGACGGTGCGTTCTGCACCAACCCAGAGAGCAGGGGGCAGTTGACCTCTCTATCATTTATTTATTTACTTAAATAATTATGTAATATTATCATTATTAGCAGAGAGGCACTTAGTTGTCTGACTCCCAAGTCTCAATGTTTATACTTTTTCAAATGATACCACTTCAATGCAATACAATATCATTTGAAATCAGACAATTGCAGCCGTCAAACTGTCACCTGATGTTCCCAGAGGTCTTCCATCACAGTGCTAACCAGGTCCTGCTCTGCTTAACTAGAGGTCTGACAGGATATGGCTTTCACATGCAGGTGGCACTACCAACCTTGTTCATATTAAAAATTTAATTAACCTTAGAAACTTGCAATTTGGGAAGAAACTAAACTGATTAAACTCCTCCCTCTGGTGGTAGCGTAGTGAGTTACAGGAAGACAGAATTTTTTCACCATGTTTTTTACTGAAGATATTATTTCACATTCTAAATCATGAAATGACAAAGTAGTCTCATTATCATTTTAAGAGAAATAATGCATAATATTCATAATTTTAAAGTAAATGTTAATTACACGTCTCACACCAGTGTTTCTTGTTTTGTCCTGTTGGTGTCAGGTCCAAAGTCCCCGGCAGCACAAAGCTCCACATCGATATCATTCATCAGCTGAAAGAAGCAGTGGAGCTGCTGCAGGATCCAATCAGGTCTGAGCCCAACCGCACACCAAGCCTTTGCAAACACATTCCTGTTTGTCCCACAGACTTTATATGAGGAGCTTGTCGACCAAGTGCTGATTCAAACAGGGAGCGGTAATGTGGAGCCGAATATATATGCAAATTTTACCAAGAGCCAATCAGGAGCCTCTTTCCCCACTTGTGCTATTGCTGCTACAGCTGTCAGAATTGTAACAATAAACCTGATTAGTTGTTGTTAGGGCATATCTGGATTTATTTATTTATTTATTTGGATCCCCATTAGCTTCCACAGGTGATTGCTAGTCTTCCTAGGGTCAATATCAATTCACATCACAAAAGTTCAAACATAAAGTTAAAAAAAGCAACTTTAATACAAAATAACCGCAAACTGCATGAACATTTCACATCATCCTTTAACATTCATTCAAGCATTGTAGTTGTTTTTTTCATTAAAATATATCTATTATTAGTTTGCCATGGTGCCATTAACTGATTCCAAGCAGCTGAGGATCTAAACATTTTTTTTATCCTCATACAACTTGACTTGAAGAGCAGACCTGCAGGCAGGGGTGTTGATGGCAAAAACCGCTGTTATAAAGGACCTTGAAATGCTTCTTACAAAGCCACTCCTTCATTGTTATGCTGAAAGACCCAGCCATGTTTCATCTTCAATGCCCTTGTTGATGGAGGGAGGTTTTCATTCAAAATCTCACAAAACATGGCTCCATTCATTCTTTCCTTTACACGGATCAGTCGTCCTGGTGCCTTTGCAGAAAAATAGCCCCAAAGGATGATGTTTCCACCCCCATGCTTCACAGTAGGTATGGTGTTCTTTGGAGGAGACAGAGGAGTTGAATCCAAACACGCTGAGTTGAGTTTTTACCAAAAAGTTCTATTTTGGTTTCATCTGACCATATGACATGCCCCCAATCCTCTTCTGGATCATCCAAATGCTCTCTAGCAAACCAGGCGGGCCTGGACATGTACTGGCTTAAGCAGAGCGACACGTCTGGCACTGCAGGATTTGAGTCCCTGGCGGCGTAATGTCTTACTGATAGCAGCCTTTGTTACTTGCTCTCTGGAGTTCATTTACTAGGTCCCCCATGTGGTTCTTTTGTTTTTTTTTTTTGCTCACTGTTCTTGTGATCATTTTGACCCCATGGGGTGAGATCTTGCGTGAAGCCCCAGATCAAGGGAGATTATCAGTATGTCTCCCGTTTTCTAATAATTGCTCCCACAATTGATTTCTTCACACCAAGCTGCTTACAAATTGCAGATTAAGTCTTCCCAGCCTGGTGCAGGTCTACAATTTTTTTGTTTCTGGTGTCCTTTGACAGCCATTGTGGAGTTCGGAATGTGACTGTTTGAGGTTGTGGACAGGTGTCTTTCATACTGATAACGAGTTCAAACAGGTGTCATTAGGACAGAGGAGCCTCTTAAAGGAGTTACAAGTTCATGAGAGCCAGAATCTTCCATGTTTGTAGGTGACCAATTACTTATTTTCCACCATAATTTGCTAATAAATTCATTACAAATCAGACAAGGATTGTTTTGATCTTTTATTCTGTCTCTCATATTTGAGGTATAGCTATAATGAAATTTACAGGCCTCCCTCATCTTTTTTTAATTGGGAGAATTGCACTTGGTGGATGACTAAATACTTTTTGTATTTGTTTTGGGCCAGCTGCAAGTCCCCCTTTGTAGCCCTGGACCAAATGACTGAGGACTATTCCAGACGTGCAATAATCCTTTTTAAAGACAATATCACAATATAAAGACCAGCATTGCTTAACCACTAATTTTTTGAAGCTCAAGATGTTGAGTGTGACAAAGACGGTTGCTGAGCTAGAAGAGTTTACTTTTCAAACATTGCCCATGAGAAACTTCCCTATTGGGCTGCATTGAGCTAGCAGGTTAGCATTGTCCATCTATATATTCTACAAATCAGCTTCTTCTGCATTCAGCAAACACAATGGTGTCATCAGAACTCGCTCAGTCCACTCCTAATATACGCTTCTTTGGTCTTTACTTTGTTTCAGAGCAAGCACAGAGCTTTCTGGTGTGCAGCTTTATCCCATGGACATGGTCACAACAGACGAGGCTCGGAAGTATGAAAGGATTTTAAATAACATGTTCTGATGCAGATCATGACTGTTTATTTCTGCTTGTGCTTCTGTAGCGGACAGAGGGACAATACCCCAAAGGTAAGAACTATTAGATAGACATATAGATACTTTATTGATCCCCGTAGGAGAAATTCAGGTGTCAGGAGAAATTCAGGTGTCAGGCAGGCAGGTGTCAGGCAGTAAAAAAGTAAGTAATAAAGTAATAATCAGCAACAGCCCTTCAGATCACAGCAGCAGAGATGGAGTAGCCTCTGGGTGGAGCAGGACGGGTTGCAGCAGCTCAGATGGAGTAGCCTCTGGGTGGAGCAGGACGGGTCAGAGCAGCAGAGGTTGTGTAGCCTCTGGGTGGAGCAGGACGGGTCAGAGCAGCAGACGTGGAGTAGCCTCTGGGTGGAGCAGGACGGGTCAGAGTGGCAGGGGTGGCATTACTATTACAAAGATGTCAGTGATTTAAATCTATTGAATAATCATGTGTATATAATATACATATTCGGGACTCTTATGTTTTTTTTTTTTTTTGAGGCTTTGTAATTAATGAACTGCTCAAATCACTTATAAATATTTGACCTGAGACCATTGAGAAGTATTATTCACATGGATTTTTAGTATACCATTGAATAATGACTGAATACATACAAAATATTGTTTATTTTGTTCAACCAAGTCCAATAGCCTAGTGCCACTGTTCCATTAAGTGTAGCAATAGCATATTTGGAAATATTATATATTTTGCAGGCCTTGTTCTTTTTTGCCCTAAGTCACAACAGTAGTCATCTCGCAGGACTTAACAAAACCGTTAAAATAGTCAACACGGATCAGAGAATAAACAGTTAGACACAAAAAATATAGAACACATAGGTCCATCCATCCATCCATCCTCTACCCTTTAATCCATTTCTGGGTCAGGGGGGTTGCAATCAGAGATGCCACCCAAGTCTCATAGCACCAGCCCCTCACTGAACACATAGGTATTGGTCCATAAACGTTGTAGAAGGTTAGAGTGTCCTGGATCATCACCACAGTCCTTCTTGTTAGACACTAACTGTCTAATAGACCCTCCTGCATCGGCAAATAAAAACTAAACCTTTCTGCGTTGGCCTAAAACAACTGTGGGAAAAGAGTGAGAAACCTCTTGAAGGCCTATACTCAGAGAGGGATCCGCTCCCGCAGACTAACACGCTGTAGATCTAGGACTGATGCTGTAGATATTATATAGATTTTCTCACAAATTTGTTGTAAAGGCATTTTATCTTGTATGAAGTTGTAGAGCTGTTCTGTGTGTCTGCTTTCACGCATCATCTCTGAGATAACTGGCCTTACGGCTTAAGATGGAGACTTTGACATGTGATGGTTCCATTGCAGCTGGAAACAGGCATGTGTGAGTTTCAGCTCAAGAGGCAGATGATTCTAGAGAAGGCCGGGCGTGCGTCCCAGCATGCACTGCAGCAGGCCCATGTGTCCACACAGGTAAAGGATATGTGAGCTCAGAGGATGTAGGCTTAAGTCTGTCTGGTGCTGTCTGCAAAAACACACAGATGCACTGATAATAAAGTGGTGTTCTGAAAGCTGGTTCTGCAGTTCTGCTTTGCTGTAAGCTCATGTGCCATCTATCAGCGTATCCTCACTGTAGACCCGTGATTGAAAGCTAGAGGGAAAGGTTAGCGTGTTGTTTGGAACTGTGTCGGCTTTTCACCAGGCAAGAATGTGTCAAAATAAAAAGGGAAAAAAAGTCCCACTTTCAAAATAAGATTTCTAATGTCAGCAGGCGGACAGGCTGTAGATCCAGGACTGAGGCTATACATCTAGGACTCAGGAGAGGCTAACTTATGTTGTAGTTCTTATAACCTTCTTCACTGGATTCACACTAAAGCAACAGCATAGAAAACAGGTTGGTTGTATTGCTCTTGAAATTACAGCTACGGTTGGTCAGTCTTTACACTAAACAACACATCTCTGCATAAAGATGACTTCACAAGGAGGATTAAATGCTGAGTCCTTTGGTTCAGTGGGAGTAAGCCTCATCAAAATTGGTGTATTACGCTATTATTATTTGTCATCTCTGTCAAGATTTAGCTCTAAACGCTGCAATAGAGCTGTATTTTTTTTCAGATTTTCTTTCTCATTCATGGCTTTTTATCCCGTTGCCATTCCAGAGATATGACCGCAATCCTCTGAGTGGTTCCATGACATTCTCCAATGCACCTTTTGGCCTCAAGCCGCGCTCAGGTGAGTCCATAACTATGACTTCAAGCTATTATTATGCTCAAACTGTCAAAAACTACCAAGAATCCAGTTGACCTTATCAAAACATGAGGCTTTTTTACTTTTTATATGTTTATGCAACATCAAAACTCCCTGCTAGTCACCATATTGTGCTTTTGAACTGCTAGCATCCATTTAGCCCATGTCGCTAACTGTTCGTGCTAACTGCTAACGATGCTAACAAGTTGTTTTTGAATGTGCCACTAGTAATGATGTGTTTTTGTTTTGTGTTATGTTGTCGTCCCTTCATTTCACTCAATCATATCTTTTATCTTTTCATTTTTGCGTTTGTTACTTGTCCACCCTATGCATGGTAACGTTGGGTTCAACCACTTTTATGGCGTTTCTTTGCATAAACTGTTCTAATATGGTGTTTTCGGCTTGTTTGAATCACTTTTCCTGTGTTGCTCCATTCTCAAATGCACATGACTGACACCTCTGCATGTATATGACTTTTTAACATTTTGTCATGGTAATTTAACATTTCACATAACCACATACTCATATCTACATACACCAATCATCGCGCATGTGGTCTCTGGTGTTCGCCCACATTCCGGATTAGCCCCGCCTTCCATGCCTTGCTCCCCGCCCCCTCGCTGTGCTGACTCCGCCCACCTCCCGCAGGACACGCCCCCTTACAGAGGCCGCGGCGACGAGGACTTTCACAGTGGTATGTTTCTGTATTAATGGGTTCATGGCAATCGTAAAAATGTTTTCAAATTTGGTACAATAAAATGCATACAATGGTCCCTCGTTATAACGCAATTCATCTTTTGCAGCGTCGCTTTTTCACAGATTTTTGTGTGTGCAATTGTGTGTGCCTTTTTAGAGCACGCTTCTCATGCGCACGACAAAAAGTTTTTATGAAACCAGAAACTGAAAGTCCACCTTTAATACATCTGTCCTCAGGCAAGGAAAGTTTGCACAATTGCTCAATTCATACACAAGGCAACTCAAAGTGCTGAACAAAACAAGATAAAAACAATCACACAAGGCATTAAAATAAATAATCACAGCACATGCGCAGCACGGTGGTTTGAGTGGATTGCACTCTCGCCTCTCAGCAAGAAGGTCCTGGGTTCAAATCCCGGTCGGAACAGGGTCTTTTTCAGTGGAGTTTCCATGTTCTCCCCGTGCCTACGTAGGTTTCCTCTGGGTACTCCGGTTTCCCCTACCACTAAAAACATGTTCACTAGGTTAAATCCTCCAGCTCCGGTAGTCCTGACCAAGCCGGGCATCAACATCTGGAGATAGGTTCCCGGACGCTGTACTACGGCGACCACTGCTCTTGACGTAATAATAATAATAATAATGCATCGGTTTTATATAGCGCTTTTCTGGACACTCAAAGACGCTAGCATCAGGATAGGTCAAATGCAGAGGATTGAATTGCCCTACGGGGATTAATAAAGTGCACCTTTACCCTTACATTAAAAAGATAGCGGTTATCATTAACCTGAATGGAGTTGGTCCACGGATTTCTTAGCAGGCGAGCACTGGTTCACGAACGCCAAAGCTTGTGCAGTGTGTTAAAGTGTAAAAACCGCTTCAGACTCTGAAAAGACTCTGTCTAAGGTGAGCAAGACACTGTGAGAATAACGCCGCCTTTTTGAATTGATGCAGTGGCTATTACCGTTAACGCGTTTTACAGAAGTTACCACCTACACCGCTTACAGTGATACCCTTTCTGTAACTACCCTTACACCCTTAGATGAGAAAATGATGAGACCATAGTTGACCAGATGTGGACTGTTTTGTTTCATGTAGATTGTTCCAGGAATTAGAGAAATTAGCTTCTATTTTTGTAATCACCATTAGTTACCAGGATAGACGTTTCAGCTGCTCTCCACCACAATGTGAAACTATAGGCTCTTTGGAATGTGCTGATGTCACTAGAGCACAATAATATTTTAGCTTTAATAGTTTCAAATGTGTTGATTAAAGAATGATTTGTGGTGGTAGTTTTACATCACCCATGACTGTGGCGTGTACTTCAGACGGTGTTGGATGCCTGTGGTCTTGTAAACAGAAGTGCCTGTGCCTTTTTAAGAGTTAGGACAAAAAACATGAGAAGAGAAATGGAAAATCTAAACTTTAGCCAAGATACTTGATGATGCGGCAACACAAGCTGCTCTGATTTTGCGCTGATGTGGATTAAGTTACCTACCTTTTTTAGTGGTGGTGTTTAAACCTACAACCCAATGTGTACAGGCTCTGTTGCATTTTTCATAATAAAGAAAATGAAAAATATGATTTTCATAGTAGGACTTTCATATAAAATGTAAGAACAGTTCTGTTTAAAGTTGAACATAATAACAGTAACACAAAAGTAACGTAAAAGTAACAAGTAACATATGTACATTTATTTAGACAATAACTAATAAGAAGTAAAGTAACGAGTAACAAGAAAAGTACCTTCCTTTGAGTTGGTGTAATGATGGATTATTCTCACCAAATTGAAAGAGAATTATAAAAGTCCTTCCAAATGTAGTAACATGAAAATCACCCGTTTAAGTCATCTGATTGTCCCTACACATTCAGCTAATCAGCTCTCAATGAGTCAAATTGTGACTCACATGGCTCTTTCCTATGTTTTCTAATGAGACGGAGACATTTTACTTTCACCTGTTAGGTACCTGCTTTAAAGGAGATATATAATGATAAATTGCCTTTTTTTATTACCATGTTCCGTCTTTCCCTCATTAAAAACAGACTTGGATATGTTTTTAGCTCCACCCATGCACATTTCAGGAACTTCTGGGACAAAATAACCCTGCTCCTCCTCCTATGCTGTGGGCATTTGTCCTCTCATTCCACACAGTGATTGGAGCGGAGTAAACTAATTATCATCTTTAATAGTCAAAACAATGCATAATATTTCTTGTTTAAAGAGTAGTGCCAGGCCACACATCAAAAGGGATGATTCAGTTCCACATGAGGCTCCAGTCAAATCCTGTGCATTCGCTTGTTATAATTGCTTTATGTCTATTTGCACATTGATCCGTTTTAGTCTCTTTCCGTCGCTCAAGTGTGAAGCTGATAAGACTGTGACTAAAGCCTTGTGTGCACATGACATCAGCGCGACCTCCTTAACCACCAATCACAACCCTTTGCACACAAATGCACCAATCGGCATGCTTCACACTCCTGCCCACATCTGCGTGAAACAACCCCCGGCCATGAGTCCACAGGCTCTGCCACATGGCCTCTCGTCAGCCGCCCGCCCGCATTCAGGCTGGGTCTAAATGTAAATCATATTTTTTAGTTCTATAATGCCTCAGTTTGCCAGAAGTTCCTGATATCATTGAGGACAGAGCAAGTCACAGCTCCAGATCTGTTTTCAATGAGGAGCAATGTTTATGGGGCTAGAAGCTCTGGGCTCCCTCTCTGGTCGGTCTCTGGTCTCTCTCTGGTCTTTCTCTGGTCTCTCACTTAACAAACTGACAACCCAAATTGGAAATGACACAATCAGAGAGTTGCTTGGTCATGTCCGTTGTATTTTTAATGAATAACTCCACTTTAAACTGATGTTCAGAAAATGGAAAATATGATCTGTACATGCGACCTGCGGTACACATGTACAGTGTAAATATTAGCTGATGCACAAACATATTTCTTTTAGCATGAACCAGAGAAAATACAACGGTTTCCTGTTTGATTCTGTAGTTGTGTGTTTGTCACTGTGGCTGGAGAAAGGCCTTCTGCGTGGGTTATCTCTGCTCTTCCTTCATGTGGAAGTGGCCCTGACGTGAACTCTGCTTGAGCTCACGCAGTGCCCCCCGGTGGACAAAGACAAAATTGTGCAGAGTAAATGCAAGTAGTTCATGCATCAGCAGCTCGAGGCTTCTCCCACATCACTGCGTTTATGGAAAATGATTAAGCCACAATTTAACAAAAAATTCATCAGAAAGTCTTGAAGGGTGAAGTCAGTACAACGCTTTTTATCTGATTGTACATGGTTTTGTGTTTATGGGGACACGTAAATGTGCCACTATTTTCTTTAAATGGAGACATCACAATATTTTGTTTAGGAGAAAGGCAGGGTTTAACAAAACATGAGATAGTGTTGTAACCATATAATGTATATGAGGAGTGGACTGAATGAGTGCTGATGTCATCCTAGTGTTTCCTTAATGTGGAAGAAGCCAGTTGGAGCTAACTCGAACAGATAATTGAAGCCCCACCAGTCTATCCTCTCGCGCTACTCTATGCGAAAGCTGAATTTGGCCCTGAAATCTGCATTTCAGTATGAAAATATAAACACCAGGATCACAGAGAGAGCTTATCCATGGATTGTTTAAGCTCAAAGAGACCAGAGAGAGAATTGCGACCAGAGAGAGCGCGAGACCAGAGCGTGGGAGCAGCCTGTCTGGAAGAGAATGTTGTAACTCAGTTAATTTGGCATGATACGTGTTATACCGGCTCAGTGTAAAGGAAGTAGCAATTTGGTTTTATTAAAATTTGTATTTATTAATTTGACTGGGACATGTCAATAAACATATATGGTTGAGCATATTTGTCGATACGTCAGATTGTAGCCAAAAGCTAATTCTCATTTGTAAAGACGTTGAAATGGTAACTAAATAGGTTAAAGAGGGAACACAATAGGATTATGTATTTACAAAACACAGAGTAAATAACCTATAAACTAGTAAGTAATTGAAAGAACCAAAGGAGTAAGCTAAACTAAAATGTTAACAAAAAGTATACGCAACAAGTAACTAAACTAAAGGGCAGACACAAGTGACAAAACACAGAGATAAAACTGAATGGCGAACTGGAATCCATCGACTCCAGCTACCCAGAGCCATGGAAGATTGGCAGGTTATATGGGCGGGTCCTCCAGGTGAACGCATGCGATTGAAGGACTGTCTCTGTTTCTGCCCAATCAGCACCGAGGCATCACTGTCAATAAGCTCCTGACTGGCCGTAACAATACGTCTCCTTTATAGTCTGGGTCCTTAGAATGAAAACCAAATCAGCCCCACATGTAACTCGCTGGCGTGTTGTCAGCAGAGTGAAGGTGCATTGGGCTTACGTAAGATTCGTACATGTTTTATGAACTGGCTTTCTGTGTCACGGAATCTGTCATTTCCACATGAACACAAAAGCTGCCATTTCAGAATAGGCCAGAAATATACAGTGGGTCAAAAAAATATTTTGTCACCCATCAATTGTGCAAGTTCTCCCACTTAAAAAGATGAGGGAGGCCTGTAATTTACATCATAGGTATACCTAAACTATGAGAGAAAGAATGAGAAAAAAAAATTCCAGTAAATCATCATCATTCCTCATGTTTAGTCTTGACTCTGGGCACCAGCGTGAGGCCAGTCCCTGTGCTCCTCAGATTTGATTGATTTTACGTGTGTGGGGTTTTAGAAAGGCATGTATTTAAAAAGTATTTGTGTGTTATTGAGGGTAATGTTTTGTGTTGTCGTTGCAGTGTTTGTGCGCAGTCACCGGAGCCTGGAGTCGGTGGATCCACAGTTTACCATGAGGAGGAGGATGGAACAGCTGAGGGAAGAGCTGGAACTCATGGAACAGCTGCGAGATGTATGAAAACACATTTTTGACTTTAGCTTGTGATAAACCATAGCCGCAAGCTCAATGAAGCCCAATAGGGAAGTGCTCACGAACAAAGTTTTGCTCTAACTTGCTCTGGCTCCTATTCACTTACATTTAAAAGTAAACTCCTTGCTCAGTAATCGTCTGTGTCACACTCGTCCTTTTGCCCTCTATGATCCTGGTGTGTGTATTGTATGTATTACAGTCAAAGTCTATTTTACAGCCCCTCTATCCGTGGGAGCAGCCCGTGTAACTGTTTTTTTGTGGTTCCTTTCCAATGCAGGAGGGTCTTAACATTTATGGACTTTGATCTTCCGCCCGTAATGGACCAATGGCTCAATTTGTATTTATCATTGCATTTCCTGTGTTTGACTGGACTGTTTCTTGCTAAAATGGATTATTCTAATATGTAGTATATTTCTGTGCTTGTATTTTCATAAAATTATTTTTTTGTTTTTGAAATGTTCTACCTTTAACCCCATTCATTTGAATGTTAAATTGAAATGTAGCCATGGTGCTTGTTAACCAACATTATTATATGGCAGTTAAACCCCTTTTTTCATGGTGCTGGTCCTGGACTGGTTCTGAGCCGAGCCAGCTTGGTTTTCCAACGAAAAAGCACACATGCTAGTTACCATAGCAACACACCTTTTACAGTCAGCAATTAGCATTTGGTCTTTAGCATTAGCCTTTCAACAAATTGTTTTTGCTGTTTTTCAAGTTATATTCACTAGTGTCAGCACTTATTAAAAGTGAGTAAAGGTTAAATAAATAAAAAGTACTTTAACAAATATGGGATGATTTAAATTGGTCAGTCAAAATTGTCCCTTTTCAAACCATGTTCTAGTTATTTGTTTGCTATATTGAAACATCCATCCATCCATTTTCTACCTTTTAATCCATTTCTGGGTCAGGGGGGTGGCAGTCAGAGATGCCACCCAAGTCTCATAGCACCAGCCCCTCACTGACCCTCTGCAGGTGGTGAGTCCACAGGAGGACGGCTGCTCTTTGAGTGTGAGCATAGCCTTGATCTTTCAGTGGGGGCTTTGGGCAAAGTGGGGTTAAGTGTCTTGCCCAAGGACACAACGACAGCAGTCATCAGTGGGAGTCGGTGGAGAAGGTGTAGAGGTGGGAAATTTTGAAACAGTATATGTTAAAAAAAAATGTAAGTAGAAGGTAGAAGTACCAAAAGTTCATCATTATGAATATCATATTAGTGAAAGAACTGCTATTACACCCTTTTTACACACTTATTATTTGTGCAAGTTTGAAATAATCTAATCTAAAAAATCTTTATTGGAGTATTCTGGGAGTCTTTGTGTTAATCATACATCTATTGATTTGACCAGTGCATCCCAAAGGAGTCCTCAGAGGATAGTTCAATGACTCCATGAAATCAGAAAGATTCGGAGAGTTTGACTATGCAAAAACAAACTAGTAAAATGGTAGAAGAGGGAAAAATGATGCGTCCTGTAACAACAGTCTTGTCCTCCGCAGAGCATCGAGTCTCGCCTGAAGGTGGTCCTGCCTGAAGACCTGGGCTCCTCTCTCATGGACGGAGTGGTTTTGTGCCATTTGGCCAATCACATCCGGCCCAGATCTGTGGCCAGCATCCACGTCCCCTCCCCCGCTGTGGTGCGTTGAGTATGGCCTTTAGACATATTATATATAACTATGTCACACCATTGTTCCTCATCAGTCACAGACCTGGAGTTGTTTTTAGACACACCCACACTAATATCAGATGTATCATAATAAATATAAACGCATTATTTTTGGCCGTCTAAAAATTAAATGGGACTATATTTCTTCAGTTTTATAATGTTAAATAATATTAATATAAAATATTTGAAACAAGTATGAAGGGTAAAACATCCTTTCCGCCTGTAACTCCCTATGCTGCCACCAGAGGGAGAATTTATTTGTATTTTCCCAAAAGTTTTTAAACTGTGTATAACTGTTCATGATGTTCAGTTTAATTTAGGTTTATAGTAAAAAAAAAAAAATAGATTGACTATTTAAACATTACTCGCTACAAACACAGATGTGTGATGTCGAACTAAGACAGAAGGGGCGGAGTTACATGTTTTGCCAGAACCATGGACTGTACATCAGGAGTGGACTGAACAAGTGTTAACGTCACGATAGTGTTCACCTTAACGCAGAAGAGGCCGATTAGAGCTAACTCGAACTCGAATGTGGAGTCAAATAGATGCACATTTTGTTGGTAGCAACGGTCGAGTTACCAAGAGCCATTCAGGGGCCGCAGCGGTCTGTCCCCACTCTCGCTACTCGCTGCTAAAGCCAAATTTGGCGACAGAAGGCCCCTGATTGGTCACTTGTACTGGTCCAAATATCTGGATTTACAAAGAGGATATCACAATATAAACACCAGGATCACAAAGAGTACTAAACAAAAGATTTTAAGCCCAATATGGTAGGTTACAGAGAAGAGTTTACTTATCAGTGTAAGTCGATTGAGTTTGAGCGTACAGTAACTTCCATGAGCTGTCCCTATTTGGCTGCATTGAGCTAGCAGGTTGGCATTGTTTATTCATGTATAGTCAATTACCAAAAGTTCCTGATATTAGTGTAGATGGGTTTAAAAACAACTCCAGGTCTGTTTCTGAGAACGGAACAATGTTGTAAAATGGTATAAAGCTCAAAAAAGTGGATTTTGAAGAATCCATGACATGTCTTTGGAGTCTCAAACATTTGAACAAAGTTGGTTCCGTTTGGTTTCAGCCCAAACTGAGCATGGCCAAGTGTCGGCGAAACGTGGAGAATTTCCTGGACGCCTGCAGACGGATCGGAGTCCCAGAGGTGAGATCCGAGCAGAGACTTGAACTGATGTCACAAAAATACTGCTCAGACCAACTCCACACAAAAACAGAAACTATGGAAACCAAGGCGTGCATTTAAACAGGATACACTTCTCCCTCCTCCTCTCTCTCCTCTTCCCTCCCTCCTCTAACATCTCCCTTTCTCCTATTCTTTCTACTCTATCTTATCTCCTCTCCCCCCGTCCTCTCAATCTCCTACTCCTCCTTCCTGCACTCCTCCAATCCTCCAAGGCTCCTATTTAAACATCTCAAACACCACAATCAAAAGAGCAGTATTTTTTTGATCATTGACTTTACCAGTTCAAATAATGTCAGTGGACTTGTGGGTCCTCAGAAAAGCTTTGCTGAAACAGACCTGGAGTTTATACTTTTATTTATCCCATATATTTTTTATCATAATCTTTATTAATGTGAGTTATTGCAAATTCCAGTACTGTTTTGCCTTATATCTGCTGCTGCTGCTGCTGCTGCTGCTTCTGCCCAATTAAATCAAGTCAACAAAGTGGCTGCACTGCATAAAGTAATGTTGGAATAAATTAAAATAGACTTTGATTAAAGCTGGGGTACGTAATTTTCAGACCACAAAAATGAGCTAATTAATTGCATGTCATTAGGTTCTGGCTCTCGTCACTAGTTTTTACTTTTTATTTAGATCAACTTTTTCAGACAGAAAAGTGTAAAGGAGAGAACAACCCTTACTCTGCCCTTACTCAACCCATTTGAGTCACTTTATGACTCATAGGGCTCGTTCTTCCACAAAAGATAATGTGTTTTCTAAGATGAAGACAGCATGTTTTGGTATATGTGATGATAATTTTGAGAGCAATAAGTTACCTACCCCAGCTTTAAGATTATTTGATAGTGGGTTTGTATTTGGTTTGGAAATGGAATAATCCTTTTAAATTGGCCTCCAAAAGTCTTTATTGATATGCACATGTATTTTCACTTTCAAATGGTCATACTGTTTAAATATTTTTACACTGAAAATGTGGTCACACTGAGTTTAATGTGGTGAGGGTGTGTGTGGAGCCATAAAACATCTCTACATTCAGTATTGGGGAAAAAATGTCTCTTCTGTCAATGGTTGTTGTATTAAAATATAGGGACCTGTAATAAATCAGGACAAATAAATCATTCTGGATACAGTAGTCCCTTGTTTATCGGCCGGGTTATGTTCTAAAAAATAACCCACAATAAGCGATGTCCTTGCAACTATATGTTTTAACCTTGTAAAACCCCTCACACACACTTTATTCACTTTTTTATTCACCACTTAAACTCAGGACTGCTGAAGTGCGAGCGCAGAGATATCAAACCTCTTGGTTGTAGGCCTGATTAAAAAAATCTGCAAAACAACGAGGCCACGAAAGGAAACTGAATAGAACAGGTTTTCCCTCATTCTGCGGAAAGTTGATCCCAACAATACCGGGTTTACGCAGTGACTGTAAATCTTGAAATTTGGTGCATGTGGTTCTTCATGTAAAGCTCTTCATAATTACTCTGATGTGCATTGCGCTTTTTAAATCTGCAAACTATAGACTGCTATGCGCAACTAACTCGGCTAACACGCAAACCAGCTTACCCAGCTAACCCTGGTTGTGGCTCCCTGATTCGCCTCAAACTTTTGGCGCATGCACAAAATTGCCTTATAGTTTTACATTTGTGAGGATGGAGACTTGTCACAGGTTAACCAGAAAGCGCTTTTTTTGTTTAGGGCTGTAAAAACCATTCTGATCATTCACAATTTTTGAATGTGCCTAATTTCCAGACAAATCCGCAAGCCACAACGCTCTCTGCTAGCTTGCTAACTTCTACAATGTATCAATAATCATATCTGTGAGAGGGGTAATGACTTCACTTGGATCACGTTTTTATGATGGATTTTTAGAATTACATTTTCACGTGGCTTTGCCCTAACTGCAAGGTTTCAAATAAAGGCGCACATCCCAGAAGCCTGGACTAGCGTGCTGGATTCAAAAAGAGTAAAAAACGTGAAAAACAGAGAATAATCCGCACATCTATGTTGCTCCCAAGTGGGTTTTATTTACAGACCACAAAGTAACTTCTCGGGCTGAGGCCCTTCATTAGAAGTTCAGCCCAAAAGGTTACTTTGTGGTCTGTAAATAAGACACTTGGGAGCAACATAGCTGAGCGGATTATTCTCTGTTTTGCTCAAACTCCAGGAATTGCTTTGAAGATGTAACTTACGAGTAAAAGTAGAACTCTCCACAACTCAGTCCGTCCCAGTGACCGGAACAGACTCAAAATCGCAGAGTGGTCCTTTACTGCCTTGTGGTCACACAGTTTGTGTGACCCCAAAGGAGTACTACACTTATCTTGTCCCAATGCTATTGGCTACTGCCTTTAATGTCTATTAAACATTATTATGTCTGTCCTAAACATTATAATTAGACCCTAATAACACCTACTCTGTATCAATAATATCTATACCAAAATAATACTTTATTGTTTTGCTCTAATTTGTCACCAACAATAGTTTTAAGCACATATTTAATGCGTTATAGTTTCAGTTTGTTTCCATTACCTCTTGCACCCTCCAGTGCTTTGAAGAATTTCCACAACAAACCTGTAAAAAGTTTAAGTCCTCTCTGGGAAACGTGTCCACCATTCAAAGGTGACAGAGCGACTAGATAAATATCCACTGAAACTCTAAGATAAACTTAGAACGTTTACTCTGAGATACACTTAGAATGTTTACTCTGAGATAAACTTAGAACGTTTACTCTGAGATACACTTAGAGTTTTGATAAGTTCGTAAAAAAGTTTAAACCAGTCTCAAGCAAAAAAGGGGACTGGAAGTGATGTCACACCGGGACCAAAGAAATTGGGTACAAGAAAAAGTCCAATGTTAAATTAATTCTGTCCAATCAGGAAGCAGTTATCAGGTCTAACCGCTGCAAAACGTTTATGTGGCAGATTGGACAATTTCAAGCTCAAAATTGAGTGGACTGCAGATTGTGGACGAAGCTAAAAAAAAAGTTTTTGACTGTCTGTATAAGCAAGGGTTAAATGCTTAAAAGAGTTGATTTGGTATATTGTGTGACTGTGAAGTCATTTTCTCTCCTGTAGAGCTGATCATGTGACCGTGTGGCAGTGTGGCTGTGTGCCCCTTGCTGGCTGCTATCCTCTTTCATGTTGTTTTTTTTTCTGAATGTGATGTTAACCTCCTCCTTCTCTTCTCTTTTCACTTCCCCTGGATTGTTTTTTTTGTGTTTTTACAAATTGTCAATCACTTATCTTTATTTACTTATCTACTACTACGACTGATTTTACTGCTGCTACAACTTCTACTTCAACTCCTACTACTAATGCGACTGCTTTTACTCCTGCTGCTACTACTACAACTGCTTTTATTACTACTACTACTATTCCCTCCTACACTCCTGTCCTCCCTCTACTCTCCTCCTCCTTACACTCCTCTCCTACTCGTCTTTCCTCCTCCCTCTACACTCCTGTCCTCCTCCCTCCTACACGCCTCCCTTCTACACCCCTCCTCTCTCCTCTCCCTCCTACATTCTTCCTCTCTCCTACACTACTCCTCCTTCCTTCCTCCTCCTCCTCAGTCATCCCTCTGCTCCCCATACGACCTCCTCCAGTCCCGCCTCTCTCCGGTTTGCGTCTGCGTTCGCGCACTCCTCGACTTGGAAGTGACGGTGCCCGCTTCATGCTGCGCTTCCTGCCTTAGTCCCGCCCCTTCTGTTGTCTCTGTGACAACGCAGACCCCGCCCATGCCCTGGCATGTCTGGGATCTGATTGGTCCCAGTCTGGTTCATGTGCTCTGCATCCTGTTTCTGTTCCTGGCCTACACCTGGAGCGAGCTCACGTAGCTAGCGTCAAAAATGAAAGCGAATTGAAAAGTGAAGACAAAAGTATGCGGCTAAGATCTAATGAGCATATTTTTCCTATCAGAAGAAAGTTGTGTACATCATGCTGTCTTCATCTGTTTAAGAAAAAAGTTCTCTTTTATGGAAGAAAAAGCCCTGTGAGTCACCATTTGAATATTCGGGCTGAGACCTTCTCCTACACCCCTCTTCTCCATCTGTTGCATACTTGTAAGAACTATTTGGCTCTTTGCCTGAGAGCTGTGTTCGTACCACACCATAGTACAAACTACATTTCGTACTAAGGTCTGGATGTGCTCCATTGAGCTCCATTAACAGATGGGAGGGGTTAACTCCTTTGGCAGGTTGAAACGATTGGATCTGAGTTTACCGTGCCGAATGTGATGCGCCCGAGGGAGTCGTTAGCATATAGCCTGGCCATCTCCTGTGCCGCTAACGTGGCCCGTGGGGAGTAGCGCCACAATCTTTGCCAGTAATTACATTTACTAAACATTCCTCTTGTTCCGGCTTCAATTTCTTGATAGAACTTGACCGGAATACTTATTGCCAAACTACAACCTGCCCGTTCTAAAACACCCGCCTCCCGCGCTCGCTGATTGGTCGGATGGAATTCAACCGATTGTAATCGCAAACACAGGGACCAGACCCAGACGTTACATGCAGGGAAATAATTGAGTGTACAGGTGGCTAAGGCCAGGCTAGAGTGAGGGTGCGCCTTTCGTTTTGACTTTTCTGTCTGAAAAGGCTGATCTAAAGATGTCACAAAGGGCATATACACATGCATGTGAAAACTAGAAATCAAAGCAAACAGTTTTGGAGCCAAGAACAAGAGATGTATAATAATAAGAATTCATTGTTTTTTTAGCGCTTTTTTGACGCTCAAAGACTCACTAATCGTCTTTTCTGTCACTCCATACACAGTTTTGATAAGCTACAATTGTAGCCACAGCTGCTCTGGGGTAAGCTAACAGAGGCAACCAGTCTGTGCCATCAGCCCCTCTGACCACCATCAACCATTCACACACACACGCCCTGTGAGGCACTATTTGGCAATGTGGGTGAAGTGTCTTGCCATTCCTGAGTGGTAATTGTTCCAAAATGTGTGTATTTTTCAAGGGTGGCTTTCGGGTAAGAACAGGAACAGCTATAAGAGTGTTAGCAAAAGCACATGAGGAGACTGAAGTGGTTCATTAGTCTTCTATTATTAACATTATAATTATCCTTGTATAAATGGAATACTGTTATCCGACTATGCAACTAAAGCTACATGATGTTGTCCCATTAGAGCAGTGGGATAAACGTGCTTAGGATTTGGTATATATTTAACTTTTATCCCCACACGCCTTGCTATCTACTCTATCCTCTCCCCTCTTCTCCCTCCTCTCTCTCTATCTTTTCTCCCCTCTTGTTTCCTCTTATATTGCAAGGCATGTGGAATTCTGGGCATTGTTTGAATGCATCATTTTCTTTCACAATCAGATGTAATTTTGACTCAACTTTGCTTTGAAAATGCTAAAATTCATAAACAAACTGGGAACACTGAAAGCCAATGATGAACATGAGCCAGATAAGCCTGAGCAGAAAGTTTTTGCAATATCTTCAACAAAATATATTTACAAGACATTTCTTTCTTAATGAATAATCTGATGGAGTTGCTTCAATAGAAAGGTCTTCACATTTGATTGAATCTGCAGCTGATACAAGTAATAAACACCTTTACATCGTCTCTGTGGTTGTCTCTTACTCTTCAGTCTTGTGTCCTTGACTAGAAGATCTGCTCTCGCAGATTCAAACCAGTGGAAGGTGTTTCTCTGTCTAATTACAGCTAAAAAGAAGTAGGTTGCCATGTTTCCTCCTAGAGTTCTGACTGCGAAGGCAGAATTACACCATGAACACAACTTTAAAGAGAGGTTAAAAATGCGCCTTTTGGCCCAACTTGTGGAGATGTTTTAATATAGGCTTGTACTCCTGTTCCAACTGTGGAACTCCACAGAAGTAGAACTGTTGTTTGGTATTTCTAATGGGTTTCAGAGATGAAAGATGAGGGCTGTGGATTATGTGGCCCAGATATCAAAATATCATTATTACAAAATACAAAAAAATATAAACACTTTGTTTTGTATCCATCCAGCTGATCTTCACAAAGATCAGCCTCTCACTGATCCTCCTGCAGGTGGCGAGTCCACAGGCTGATGGCTGCTCTGTCAGTGACGACACAGCCTTGATCTTTCAGTGGGGGCTTCAGGCAAAGTGGGATTAAGTGTCTTGCCCAAAGACACAACAACAGCAGTCCTCCGTGAGAGTTAAACAAAATAAAAATAGTTATTTCTCAAAATATAAAATCTGGAAAAAAAAATCTATATCTAATTACTGTTGACCAGTATAGAAGGATGATGATCTGAGAAAACAGCAGGACATTTTCTTTCAGAAATTGCTTCTTTCCCATAGAGTTGTATTGGCATCTGGTGAAATACCAATACTCATCCTAAATGTTTTTTCTATGTGTGTTCTTCATACATCTGTGTGCGAATAACCCAATGTCTCATCCTCTCTGCTGCCCCCTCTGTCCCTCCTGTCACCTCCTGGTTTTGTCTTTTGGACTTTGTTTCCCAGGATTCACTGTGCCTTCCTCACCACATCCTGGAGGAAAAAGGTCTGGTCAAACTGTGCGTGACTGTGCAAGCTTTGGTGGACCAGACGTGAGAGGATCTACGCAACACCCAAGCACCAAAACTCCAGATCTGCTGCGGAGGGCCGCCCTCTTGTGTCTACACAAATGGTCACAAGTGGACAATGCAATCCCAATGTGGCACGTTGAGGTAAAGCGTGAAAAGCACTAAAGACTGTCCAGACACAGGGATATGCAGTTTATACCAGTCCCCTGTGACGTTTATAGCAAATATTGTTCAATTCTGCGGACTTGTGTTTGTTGAGAAAAGTAGAATATTGTGGAGATGTCATTGAAGCACTTTTTAACTTCTATAGACAGCTTTTCTGCACAGAGAAGACTTACTTTCCTGGTTTTAATTGTGCCAAATGATGAATGGAGAAATCGGAAAACTGTTTCACTGTCGATCACGTTTTTCACAAATTCTTCCAAGGACCAAACCAATTTGGACTAGCAACGACCTGGAACACTTATGTGAAAGGTCGGCGTGTTTGGAGCTTTTCACCACAGGAAAGAGGGAAACATCTTTCCTTCCAAAAAATACAGTTTAGTCACTTAACCAAACAATATTATTACATTGTTACATTTTTTGTAGGTTTTAAAGTTTTGCTCCCCAACTTTGACATCAGTGTTGAAAAAATTTAATGTTTGAACCTTCCCCTTAGTAACATTTAATATTGAGGAAATTGATTTTATATTTTTTAAACACTTATTGCTTTCTCAAAATGTGACTTTAGAATCTGTTCATATTTAATTGAAAAAGGCCAACTGTTCACTGTGTATTTAAGAAAACATGTTTATAATGTTGTATTATTGCAGAACGTGCAGAATCACATATATTTTTGGTATTTGATGTGATGTTTTGGTGACTGTCCAAAGAGCCTTGAGACAATCAGAAAGAGGAATTTATGAGGCTTCATTTCTATTTGTTAAATGTGATGTCTGCAACTTTAATGTTATTTCCTTTAATATAATTCATATTTTTGACCATATGACCCTGTATTGTCATGTGAAGTATTTTTGAAAAACAGTTGGGTTCTGTTGCCTCTAGCGCATTATGGAAGACACTCGTTCTCTTGGGGAAACACTTTCACCATTCAAAGGTGACGGGCACTTGTGCGTCACCCCAAACCCAAGCCCCGGCGAGATGACGCCCTATTCAAATCAATGGCACGTGCTCAGTGGCGCATGTGCCATCACGCACGAGGAACGATTAGCGCCCATATTTATTCAGTCATTTCTCTGGTCCTCCTGGTTGTGCGCAGTGGACGAGATCCCATAATGCTTTGCGTCAAATATGTGTGTGTGGCATGGATCTATTATAATAACTGGATAGGGTATAAGTAAGTAAGTAAGTAAGTAAAGTTTATTTGTATAGCGCCTTTCACAGACCAGGGTCACAAAGCGCTTCACACATTAAAATACAAAATACACATACAAGTCAGATAAAACAAACACAGAAAACACAATTTACATTCACAGAGGCCTATGAACAATGGTGCGAGAAAGCCTGTCCAAACAAATGTGTCTTTAGTTGGGACTTAAAATCATCAACAGTCTCTACGATACGCAGAGACTGAGGAAGCTCATTCCAAAGGCGAGGAGCAACTGCCTGGAAGGATCTGTCTCCTCTGGTTTTGAAACGGTATTACTAGCTTAGAGCTGAAGGACCCATTTGCTTGCAGAATTCTCGCGGTACTGCAGACTAGACTAAATTCACGTGGGCTACCCAGAAATGTCCCCATAGAACTCAATATAAACTAAAACAGCTCAACCTCAGCTGACAGAGCATCTACAGCTTTCATAAAGGTCAGATTTTGTGGGGATTCTAGTATCCCTTGTCATCCTGAACTTTTTTACTTCTGAAATCCTTAGGTTTTCTTTAAATCCACACTTTAGCTCTAACTTCCGCTCTGATCAGCAGCGCTGATTGGTCAGAGCGCGGCCAAGCCCCTCTGTGCACGTGGAGGAGAGTCACACGCGTATTTGGTGCAACGCATCATGGGAGCTCGTCCACTGCGCAGAACAGGGAGGACCAGACGATGCCCAAATATAGGCGAGTTCCGCTAATCTTTCGGAGCCCGTATTGGCATCGGTGTGTCCTGACTAATCAGGCGCTGCTTATCAGAGCGTAGTTTTGTGAGTTTGTGGCACTAAAGTTTGGATTTATAGATAACCAAAGAATTTAAGAAGAACAAAAGTTTAGGACGACAAAGCACACTAAAATCCCCACAAAATCCGACCTTTATGAAAGCTGTAGGTTCTCTGTCAGTTGAGATCAAGCTGTTTTAGTTTAAATTGAGTTCTTTTGTGGAAGATTTCTGGGTAGCACACGTGAATTTAAGGCCCTGTTTATACTGAGACGCTGCGCAGACGTTTCCAGGCTATTAACAGAAACGACCTGGCTCCTAATGCAAATTTCTCAGCGTTCACATGAGGTTGAAAAACGATGTAGTTCTAGCGCCCGGCCAGTAGTGGGCAGAGAAACTTTACAACACTCACACGACCCCCAGCCCCGTGCCCAGCCCCCCTCTCTGCAGTGTACTCACTTCCTGTGCCAGACCCTCAGAACGTACCAACATCATTCTGCATTTTAACAGCAGCTGTGAACATGGGAACTGAACCTAGAGCTTCGCGTGGTCTCGTTTGGACAAACGAAGGAGTAGAATTATCCTCTGTGCCGCGCTGGAAGCCCACGTAGCTAGTTAGTGTGCGCGGCGCCATCTTTGTTTTGGTTTGATCTCCGCTACTGCGCATGTCCAAATGTACGTGCGGGGAGCAGCACAGAGGCGGGGGTCAGAGCAGAGGGGGATTTCACACCTTTTCCCCTCTCGCGGGTGTGAAAGAGCCCCCGCTGTGCAGCGTTTCTGAGTTGTCCCACTCTGCAGGCTGGATCTGAACTCGTACGTTTTCACCCCCCTGGAACACAGTCTTCGTATGAACGCTTGGTAGCAACCGACATCCAACTATACCGTTTTACTGCCACATTGTCTCCGTGTAAACTCAGCCTAAGTCTGCAGTAGTGCGAGAATACCCGGGTCCTTCAGCTCCAAGCTAGTAATACCCTATCCAGATATGATAGATCCATGCCCCAAACTGACATGTGAATATTTACTGAGTGAGAATCTTCATTTGTTCAATCCGGTCACAGGAGAAACACGGGGAAAGGAAATGTTATCACACTGGGACCTAATAAAATGGCCAGACATGAACAAGACCAAGGTCAAGAGGCCTTCTTTGTGTATCAAGGATTTAAATGTATTTTCTCCAATCAGGAAGCAGTGGGTAGGTATAACGGTGCATACCATTGGCCTTAGTTATAGCCCAATTAAAAAAAAATTATGTAAAATTTTAGACATTTGCCTATAGCAATCAGCAATTATAAATAAGTAGTACATATTCACATAATTTTACAGGTACACACTTGCTGTATGTATGGGACTACAGGGCAGCAGCTGAAGACTCGGCTGAAAAACTCTGGACCAATGACGCAGATGCAGCGTGAATTTACTGTCAAGTTACTGATGTAAAAACACTTAAATATCAGAAAAAATACACATGCAGTCAATGTAGAGTTACTACTTTAGACTTTCAACTGTCTAAATGATGCAACAATCATAACTTAAGCTCATAAATGCTTTAATTAAAACTGGGGTGTCTTTTAACCCAACAAAACACTTACAATTGTTTCTCCCGGCAGAAAGTCTTGGTAAAATGTTAATCAGACCACACCATGCTGACTTCATCACCTCAGAAAAAGTTTATCTTTAGTAAAATCTAAAGCCAGTCATTTTTGACGCTTTGGCCTGAAAGAGGATGAACCTCTGTCACTTTTCTGTCTGAAAAAGCTAATCTATAACACATGAAAACTAGCAATAGAGAACTTTTTTAGAGCCAAAAACTAGTGATATTTTGTTACTTTGTGACTTGAATGTTTTGTATTCTGGCTTTAACAGAAATTACAGTATCTTGTTTTAGCTCATGAGTTTTACAATTGTAGCAGAAAGCATTCCCATAGCCCCACATTGTACAACAGATGGTAGAATTACAAACCAAATTGGAATATCTTACAAAGTTGTTTCATGTCTAATCCCTTCAGAGCAATACTGCCATTATGAAAAGGTGTCATGTGTATGTTTGTGTTGAGTCCTGCTGATGCTCCATGTGCAAATGTTTATTTTGACAATGAACTTGTTTTGATGTAAAGTTTGATACTGTGTTTTCTTGTAAAGATTTCCCCTGCATGGACTGTGAATACTGTACATACCTGTAAAATCACTAAGTAAAATACTGTAAAGAAATGTGTGGACCTGGTTTTTCACAAACTGGTTTGTTTAAAACACACCATAAAGAGACTACAGCGCATCGTGCGCTCTGCAGAGAAGGTGATCGGCCGCAGCCTTCCATCGCTGCAGGACCTGTACGTCGCCCGAGCTCGAGACCGGGCTGGTCCAACCACTCCACCTCAGGCAGGAGACTGCGGTCCATCAGGACTAGAACCTCCCGCCACAAGAACAGTTTCTTCCCCTCTGCTGTTGGACTCTTGAACACTTCTTAACCTCCCCGCCCTCTAGAAGTCCCCTACTGCTCTTTATAATGTCACTTTACTGCCCATCATACATCACTTTACCTCACTGTACTGCTGTCACCTTACATTGTGTGCACCATGTGCACTGTATTGTGTATATAGTAATTGTAACTCTTTTAAATGTTAGTTTTAAATTCATTCCTTAGTGTTTTCTGACTGACTGTTACACCGAGCCAAAGCAATTTTCAAGTCTGACCTCCTGTTACTTACGTGGCAATAAAAATGATTCTGAATTGTTTAGATAGCTTATTGATCCCCCGTAGGAGAAATTCAGGTGTCCAGTAGCTGCAGAAACATCCATTCATCCAAACAAAAAAATAGATGATTCTAAAAATACAATTACAACCACATCAAAGCCAAACTGTATAAAGATGGACAATGATGCCCAATAGAGAATAGCTCATGGAAAAAATCTTGCTCTGGCTCCTATTGACTTAACTAAACTGGCCCTGGTCAATATTTATGGCTCTGAATTTACACAAGCCAATTTCCACCTTGCCTTAGCACAGTGCTTCTCAAATAGCAGAGCGTGCAGCGTGTGACCCTTGGGAACGTGTTTTTTCTTGCCGTACATGAATAAAGTGTAACTGTAAATTAATCTGGGTACTCCGTCACCATAGTAAAACCATTAAAGTTGAAGTTATAAAATTCTTAGGAATCCATATAGATCAATCTACAAATTTTAAAAAGCATCTTTATGAGCTTGTTAAAAAATTGTCAAATTGTGGGTTTATTGTTTAAAGTGAGAAAGTTTCTTCCCTTAGAAGCTTTGCTGTCCTCGTACAGATCTCTGTTCGAGCCTCATTTGAATTATTGTAATATATGGAATAATACTTTAGACATGTACATGTCTAAACTTCAAATATTACAAAAAGCAATAAGAGCAATTTCTTGGTCTCGGGTCATGCTCCCACAGATGTTCTCTTCCATAGATATGGTCTATTGAAGCTGCCTGAAGTTAATCTCTACCATAATGCGTGCACAATGTATGGTGTGGTTAACAAGTTAAATGTTAGATTGAACTCATTCCATTATATTTACCGTCACATCAACATAATACTAGGAACAAACTGCTGCCTAAAGGGAAATACAGAAAATTAAAAAGCACAAGTTTTAGTATTTGTCACAAAGGCCCAAATATATGGAATGAGTTGGATAGTAACCTAAAGCAATGTGCCACATTATCAAAATTTAAGAGGGAACTGAAGGCTCATCTACTGGGGAAATATGTGACTGGATGAAAGCGTTGAAGCACTAAAAGAGTTCTGAACCACTCTGTATTTGGATCTGTTTGAGGCGAGAGACTGATGTCTCTTTCACAGCCATGATCTCAGGGCTGGCAGAAGTTACCCTACAGTAAACTCCAGCTACAATCACTTGCAAATACATATTAGGAATACATTAAATATTATACTTATGACTATATTATTATTGGTAGCGGAGATGAGCATTCAGCAGCTCCGCCAGCCCAAGTGTCCTGTACTTCCTTGAAGTGTGATGAAGATGTTTTGTATTTATTTTACTGGAAATGATTGATAGACTGTATGTGGTGGTGGAGGTGAGATGGACCCCTAATGTATAAGCTCCATTTTCACAATGTAGCACATGTACTTTTAGGGACTGTGTGAATTGTGAATAAACTAAACCATTTGGGATGAGTGCGCAAATGAACTGAAGTGTCCATGTCTCCCCCTGCAGCGCAACTAAAACTAATTTAAAGCTGTTACCAAATTTTCCCTTGCATTAATAATGAATGTTGTGAACACATCAAACAGACAAACCACAACAGGCTGTCTTGGGGTTGTTTTTTTTTGCATACTAGAAAGAGCCCTGCGAGTCCTTATTTCACTTTTTGGGCTGAGTGGATTTTATGAGCCAATCTTAAGCCTAAATGGGGCCTGGCAGAAAATTGAGAAACACTGCCTTAGCAACACGCCGTAATCAGGGCTAACGCTTTTAAGAATTTTATGAAATTGGCTCCAGTTAGCCAAGCCCTCTTGTTTACTAAAAAGGTGAAAACATGTCAAGTCGGATTTGTTCCTCTTTCCGTTTGGGCAAACACTCAGACAAGATTTGAGACATTATAGAAAACTTTGATGCAAAATAACTCAATTTAAAAGTTTATTTGATCAGTTTTTACATTGTCAGTTGTTGAGCAACTGGATCAACTTATTTTTTGTCTGAAGTGCTCGTCGTGGGGTTTTGGCTGCTATGCTCATATCTAATTTTCCGTTTGGACTTCAGCCCCTGGTTCGACTTTGACCTCTCCCCTCTTGTTTAGGCGTTTAGGAACTTGGCGTGGTGCTTGATGTGGTCGTTGATAAAGGAGTAGATGAAGAAATAACTGTGGTCGTAGCCCTGGAAGAAAGAGCGGAAAACTTGGGTCACAAACTCACAATTCAAAAAGGATCATTTCGTCTCAAGTTTTTTGTGGTTCATTTTGTGGTCAGCTGATCATGCCTACTCAGGAAGTAACAATCTGATAAATGACATCAAGGCAGGCGACAGTTCTGAAGATGGCTTGCAGCTTTGAAGTCAAAACCAGGTAAAACAGCTAACGTCCATTCAACTATTTTTAATTTGTTTCCCCCAATGCGTATTATAAAAAAGTCTTGTACAGACTGTGCTGATATTGCAAGTATAATTCATGTGCTGCTGGAACTCTCACAATATCCTTCATTCGATTTCACAATTTTAACATTTTTCACAAATTAGATTTTTTACAAAAGCCGATTAATTGCCTAAATTCGATTTATTGCCCAGCTTACAATATAAATTAAGAAAATGATTAAGAAAAATGTCTTCAATGTATGTGTCTGACATGTCCAAAAGTGAAATACTCGAATTTGTGAATGGTTTTAACTAAACACCAAATTTTTTTTACTCATAAACTGTATCAAAATGTTTCAAACTTTATCAATTTTTTTTTATAATGCGCTCTTCAAGTCCTGGTAATTTTTTTTGACATTTTGGAAACAGTTTGTGCAACAGTCAGTCTGTGTGGCGCCCTCTCATTATTATCGGTGGCACTACATTTGAATTTGGTGCCTGGCGTCATTCAATCAAATCAATCAAATTTTATTTATAAAGCGCTTTTCATACAAAAAGTGTAACACAAAGTGCTTTACAGTTTAGTTAAAAACAATCCAACATGCCCAACCCTAAACCCTCCTCCCCACAGACCCCCCAAAACCACATTTATAATTATATATACAACCACATGCGTATACACACACACACACATATACACACACACACACACACAGACACACACATACAAGTATAAAGTCATATCAGGTAAAATAGGTAAAACAATAAAAAGAAATGGGGCTGGGAGCAGATGTAACCGGCTGAAGAAGCGTCATCCAAGGAGCCATCTGCACCAGGAGCAGAGAGCCGGCTGCAGCCACAGGGAACGACACAGGACCCAGAGGAGAGAGGGGCCCCAGACCCCACCAGGCCCAGGACTCAGACCCCATAGGACCCAGAGGAGAGAGGAGGCCCCAGACCCCCACCGGATCCAAGAGCCAGACCCCCGAAGCCACAGCAGACCCCAGCTCTCAGTGCAGAGGGCTCCTCCAGAGGAAACACTGGGGACACTAAAACAATACAATAATACAATAGAAAGTAGAACAATAAAATGTGACAATAAAAAGAAAAATGGCAGCTGCCTAATATTGATAATAACAATAGTAAATGGGTAGATACAATAAATAATTAAAAATAGTAAATAATAAAAAATAAATAAATATATAATGTGTCTAAAAACATAAATAGATGTACTAAAAAGCAATAATAAATACTAATCAAAAGCTACTCTAAAAAGCAGTGGCGGAGCCAGAGGGGTAGCCAGGGTGGCCACTGCCACCTCTAAAAATATACTTGCCACCCCCAATGCCCCCCTCGGAAGACGGCAATGTAATAATGTTAATCTTGAGAATCTTCCGCACTTTTTCCGCCAAAAGCTAAAAATTCCCACGGTTTCCCCCGTCTGTGAACGCACCCTGACTCCGTGTGGAGCCGGTGCTGTATGCTAATGTTTTGGGTTGTTGGACTCACATGTGCCCAAGTCGTGATGAAAAAAAGAGGTAAGTTAGCGACGCAGAGCCAACCGTTTACATTTGACACAAAGTATAGACACACGTACTGCAGCGCATTACTTGTTCAGTTTGTAGAACTTTTAGTGTGTGTATGTGTGCGTGCCTGTGTGCGTGCCTGTATGCGCGCCTGTGTGCGTGTGTGAGCGTGCCAGTGTGTCTGCGTGTGTGTGCGTGTGTTTTCTTTGTTAGGAAAAGGCCTGTAGATCAGGATGATGAAACCTGAAGGTCAGACTCAGAGGCAGTATGTTTTGAGATGATGAGGAATTTGTTGTGTTGTATTAAAATATAGCTTATATAATTCAGTTTCAGAGGATGAGAGGGTGTCGCAGACAGGTGTAGGATTGACTATTGGCAGAAGGCGTTTTTTCACACACAAAAAAAGAAACAAAAAAGCTAAGATTATGGATGATGTGCAGTCGCTTAACCCCAAAATATTATTGAAAGAAGAGCCCCGGTTTTCATTTGGCAGAACCTTTCAGTCAGATATAGAGGACCTTAAGCATGAGGTACGTCAAACTAGGCGGCTTCTTGGGAGGAAAAAATGGATTAGAGAGTCCCTATTGGACTTCCTTGTCCTTTTGGAACGTTTGGAAAGTGTTTTTATGAGTTTTTGAGGCTTGCAAAGATCTTTTTAATACCTGTCAGTACTGCGTCTTGTGAAATAAGTTTCTCTGCCCTAAAAACCATCTCAGAACTACCATGGCAGATGATAGTCATCTTGGTATCCTCAGTGTAGGGTCAAGGAGGGCTCAGGGCTCAATATGGATGAGTTTGTCAACATCTTTGCTGCTTTACACCAGAACCGTAGGAATTTGCTAAATTTGTTAAAAGAAAAATGTAATGCAATGTTTGAATTATGTTATTTTGCACTTTTTTGTTCAGACTACTATTTAAATACACTTTTTTGCTTTGTAGTTTCCAAGTGTGCTCTCAGTTCAATTTATATTAAAAATAATGACAAGATTAAGATTAAAAAAATGAATTGTTTAGCCAGTTTTTGTGTGAAATAAAATTTTGGAATAGTATAAATGTGGACCCCTTAAAAAAACCCTTGCCACCCCCTGGCCACCCTCTGTTTAAAAGTCTGGCTCCGCCACTGCTAAAAAGGTGCGTCTTGAGCCTACTCTTAAAAATATGAACGTTCTCTGCGGCCCGGAGTTGCAAGGTGATTTCAGTTGGTACTGCGCAACGTCTGCCGCTCTACGCTTGTGGTATACAAGCATCCATGTCTCACACACGTCTCCGTAGCAAGATGAAGTATTCTGGCAACATCTAGTGGTTTAAAATTAATGTACATCAGTTGAGAGCCCTGTGGCCTCACCACATGCAGGAGGATCAGTGTCCTGGACGCAGCTCTGACTGCCACCCCTGACCCAGAAATGGATAAAGGGGAAGAGAATGGATGGACAGTTGAGAGCCACTGCTGCTGAGATAATTTAGTGGCTTAGGTTCAGGTGTCTAGATACAGTTAACTTAGTATGTAAACAAGAGTGGAATGAGAATTTCTAGTGTGTAAACTATTGCTTTAAGTCAGCAATGACAACTGTCTGATTTTTGTGTGTGTGTTATAATGGACAAGCTAGAGGAGTATGATGAAAATGTTTAAAAAGGATGGTCCAAACCAACTTTAAAATGAACACCATTTCGGTTGTGCAACGGTCTCACCAATGATCAAGAGGAGCAATTTCATTCATTATTTTTAAAACCTTAAGATTTTTTTGACTAATTTAGTTGGGTAGATGTTTCTTAGGGTAGGCATTATAAGCCACAGCTTCAGCCTACACCTTTTTTGGTTACCTTCCTAAATTGCAACAAAATAAGAAGTGTTACCGGCTGCAGTCTGAAGACCACAGGGATTTTCTTCTCGGAGCAGACGGCGATCAGGTTGTCCGGCAGCAGCTGAGACGCAGAGAGGAACTGGTCATCCTTACCCTGGTCTATGAGGACGTCGAGTCGTGGACCGGAGTACGAGGCAGCCAGCGTGGTCGCATCATACGCCTGAGTGACAAGTGCAGAAAAACCTCAGCAAGACTGGAATATAAGTACAGTGTCTTGCGAAAGTGTTGATCCTTTCAACAGTTCGCCACATTTCAGGCTTCAAACATAAAGATATAAAATTTAAATTTTTTGTCATGAATCAACAACAAGTGGGACACAATCGTGAAGTGGAACGAAATGTATTGGATAATTTAAACTTTAACAAATAAAAAACTGAAAAGTGAGGCGTGCAATATTATTCGGCCCCTTTACTTTCAGTGCAGCAAACTCAGTCCAGAAGTTCAGTGAGGATCTTTGAATGATCCAATGTTGTCCTAAATGACTGATGATGATAAATAGAATGCACCTGTGTGTAATCAAGTCTCCGTATAAATGCACCTGCTCTTTGATAGTCTCAGGGTTCTGTTTAAAGCGCAGAGAGAACCATGAAGACAAAGGAACACACCAGGCAGGTCCGAGATACTGTTGTGGAGAACAAAAAGATTTCCCAAGCTTTAAACATCTCAGGGAGCACTGTGCAAGCATCCATCCATCCATCCATTTTCTACCCTTTAATCCATTTCTGGGTCAGGGGGGTGGCAATCAGAGATGCCACCCAAGTCTCATAGCACCAGCCCCTCACTGACCCCCTGCAGGTGGTGAGTCCACAGGAGGGCGGCTGCTCTCTGAGCATAGCCTTGATCTTTCAGCGGGGGCTTTGGGCAAAGTGGGGTTAAGTGTCTTGCCCAAGGACACAACGACAGCAGTCATCAGTGGGAGTCGGTGGAGAAGGTGTAGAGGTGGGAATTGAACCCACAACCTTCAGGCCTGAAGGCCAATGCTCTACCAACTGAGCTACTGTCGCCCCTCTGTTGATTGATGGGAAGATGGATGGAGCCAAATACAGGACCATTCTGGAAGAAAACCTGTTGGAGTCTGCAAAAGACCTGAGACTGGGACAGAGATTTATCTTCCAACAGGACAATGATCCATAACATAAAGCCAAATCTACAATGGAATGGTTCACAAATAGACGTATCCAGGTGTTAGAATGGCCAAGTCAAAGTCCAGACCTGAATCCAATCGAGAATCTGTGGAAAGAGCTGAAGACTGCTGTTCACAAACGCTCTCCATCCAACCTCACTGAGCTCGAGCTGTTTTGCAAGGAAGAATGGGCAAGAATTCCAGTCTCTCGATGTGCAAAACTGATAGAGACATACCCCAAGCGACTTGCAGCTGTAATTGCAGCAAAAGGTGGCGCTACAAAGTATTAGCGCAAGGGGGCCGAATAATATTGCACGCCCCACTTTTCAGTTTTTTATTTGTTAAAAAAGTTTAAATTATCCAATAAATTTCGTTCCACTTCACGATTGTGTCCCACTTGTTGTTGATTCTTGACAAAAAAAAATATTTTTATATCTTTATGTTTGAAGCCTGAAATGTGGCGAAATGTTGAAAGGTTCAAGGGGGCTGAATACTTTCACTGTACATAGTCTGGCCTCAGTCCTGAATCTACAGCCTATATTCACAGCCAGTATTTCTTTTTAATTGGACGGAAAAAAAAAAGAAGTCTACTCCTTCTCTGGTGGTAGGAGGAGTTACAGGCAGAAAATATTTTTTTTACCCTTCAAACTATACTTTCTCCTTTAGATTGAAGCGTTTTTGAAATTTTCACAGTTGAAGATGGCTTTGTTAGGGAAGGAGCGAACAGGGGTGATGTGCTCTCTTCTGGATGCGTTTAAAACACAGGTGATGGATGAGCCGTACCTCCCAGGATGAGCGGTCCGAACCCAGGTACCCAGTGAAGGCCTTCTGCCCCCAGGGACACTGCACGGGGTTACAGATGGGTGCGAACGCAGACACAGACTGACAACAGAAGACAAACACAATACAGTAAGTTATAAAACAGCTGCAGTATGTTCAAAACGCTGCAGCTACAATCGACTAAAGCGGATGCCATTACAAAATTCTGCTGCCTCGAGGCTTCATAGTTTTTTTGCAGCATTTTGCCTTGTTTAGTAAATCGCTGTCAATGCTCATGTGTTGCACAGATCCTACGTGCCTTGCACTACACAGCGCCTGCCTTGCTAGTGTTTGTAAAAAATGTTTGCCAACATAGCTCACAATTGAAGACAACACAGGAAGTACTGGGCAAGTGAAACCGCTAAAAAGGGGAATTAAGAAGCTTGGGAACGCTTCACACTAAAATCAAAAGTAAGTAAGTAAAGGTAAATGCAGTCGTGTGCGCCGCGCCCCGTGATCTCTTGACGCTCCTCGAAGCGCGTCACTCATGTATTTTCAATGTAAACCCGACGCTTTGGACGCTCAAACCGCGTTTGGTCTGAACGCACCATTATACTAATTTGCATGATATGAATGCAATAGTTAGCTAATTTATTAGGATATTCAATAGAATGTTACTAAAATATTTGAATGCTGCAGCTCTAGTTGTGTGATATCTCCACAATTTCACTTCAGGTAGACTTCAGGTGGTTAGAAAAGTGTATTAAGTGTGTGGTTTTACAGCCTTAAATCATACAGCTGCAACGGCAACCACTGCTCCCGACGTAAGCCTTAGTGGCATCAGGAAGGGTCAAATTCAGAGGATGATTTGCACTACGGGGATAAATAAAGTACACCCTTACCCTTACTTTACTTCAAGGATTTTACTGAATGGAAGTGGTTTTTAAGAGTAAGCACTGTAGGGAACCACTGTATATAGTAGAATCCACAAGATCCCTATGGACCAATGGCTCCCATGTCTATGTTATTGTTGAACTGTTTGATACCTCAAAGAATATATACAATTTTTTTTGTGTCGGGGGTGGTAGTACCTTGTATTTGCCCGGGTTTTTCAGGGCACAAATCAGCGCCCCGTGGCCTCCCATCGAGTGCCCAGAGACTGACATGCGCTCAGGGTCCGTGGGGAAGTTGCCGTTGATCAGCTTCGGCAGCTAACACACAAATATATATTGATTTTGTATCATTTCAAATGTATTTTTATCCTGGACATTTATTTCAATATTTTCCTGTAATATTCAGTTTGGTTAGGACAAAGTAGACGCTCTCATCCATTCTAAACAACACAGTGTTCAATGTTTGTTGTATTGAAATTATTGGACGGAGGATCAAAGCTGTCAAAATAATAAATGAACAAATAAATGTCACAATCTGCCAAAAATTATTTAGATAACACTTCAAATTATTATATTTAATAAATATATTTTATTATACAATGTGTTTCAGTTCAAAACAAAATAATAATGCTTAATTATTTCCTGTCGGCATTTATTTATTCCTTGTTCATTCATAGGTTAAGATTCAAAAACATTATTTAACTAAGAAAAATACATCCTCTTTATTTTATTTTTGCATGTATTTATTTTCTTCATATCTTCATTTATTTCCTTTTTTATGGATTTCCTGTTTTATTTTTTCACAACGCATGATTCCTGCAAATGAAGGAGCGGGCCACAGATGGCGATAGGAAAGCAATCTCCTCGTGGAGACTGCTCTCCCTTAATTACAGTCCATTGTTATGATCATTTTCACTTGATGCTTTTGCACATGTTTAACTCATTGCTCATTAATACAATTGAAAAAAAAATCTTTGGGCCAAGAGGTGGCAGCAGCGCTCTCTGAGTGTCTTTTTAGAAAGACCCAATGCAGGCACTGAGGAAAACAGACAGGAGGTGGCGGGTTGAGCAGTAAAGGTGTCTCTAGCTGACAGATTAAGAGGAGCGTCAAGGCTTTCATATCAACTCCATAGACTGTAGGTCCTGGCCCTGAATGTGGACACAACTTGTGGGTCAAACGTCCTCACACTGTGGGGAATGAAGCAATATCAAGCAGACATACGTGCGCAGCCGATCTCCGATGATAGAACTACTTTGGTCTAACTTTCTGTTTGCATTGCTTTGCAAGACACGATAAAATAATAATGTGTTGTGAAATAATAAAACAGAACGTCAATAAAAAAGAAAATACATGAAGATAATATATTCATGCAGAAAATAAATGTATTATTTCTTTGGGTACACAACTGCAATTTAATAATACAATATTTCTAGTTCATCATTTTTTGATGATAAAGTTGCCGACCACTGCTGTGGCTGATCAGAGAAAATGTTACATATTCTAAAGCAAATTTGATTTACAATAGAAAAGTATTCCAGCGCCTGGGTCACTTCACATGGGATGTTATGACCTTGGAACGTCTTATATAAGTTCTAAAAACTTGCTGTGGAGCAGACTGGAGCAAGTCTCCTTTCGGGACACAGTACAAACGTACCTCGTCAGTGATGTATGAATACATGCGGTAGTTGTTCTTCCAGGGCTCCTCCGTAGCATCCACATAAAAACCTGCTCCAGTCCCGAAGTCCCAGTTCTCGTCCTCCCCCTCAATGTTACACCCACCTGAATCACAAGAAATACACCTGAATTAAGTTCACTCTCGACTACTAGAAACAAGAAATCCATGATACGAGAGATAAAAGTTTTGGGGCCACTTAGAAATGTCTAATATTACGCTTTATATTTGCTTTCAATATGGAAATCCACTTGGATCTACAGCCTTAGTCCTGGATTTACAGCCTCAGTCATGGATCTACTGCCTTAGTCCTGGATTTACAGCCTCGGTCATGGATCTACAGCTTCAGTCCTGGATCTACAGCCTCAGTCATGGATCTACAGCCTCAGTCATGATCTACAGCCTCAGAGCTGGGGTGTGTCTCACGTGGGCTGGTATCCGGTGCCACCACAATGAGCCCGTGTTCGGCTGCTGCAAGCTGAGAGCCAGCTTTAGTGATGAAGTTCTGCTCTGTGCACGTCAGTCCTGGAAACACACGGACAATGACTAAATCGGAAAGCTTTTCTGTCTGGGCAATAACAAACAACTTGCACTCACCAGAGAGCCAGTAAAGCACCGGACACTTTTCTGTCTCTGCTTTTGGAGGAAGAAACACGGCAAACTTCATCTTACATTTCAGCTCTGAGCTACGAACACAAGGACAGATTTATAATCAGATCACAAAGAAGTCACCAGAGATAGAAGGGAAAGGCCGCTTCAGTGCGTTCAAGAAATATTGCTTGTTGTGTGCGTAACCTGTGCATGCAATAAATACACTTCTGAAGCTTTGTTGTTATAATAAACAAAAAAAGTACATATGTAAACTATGTTGTCATTTAACTTTCCAGTCAAACAACCATTTACAGAAATGGCATCATTTTGCTGATAGTTTGAAATGCGATGAATTACGATTAATTAATCATTAAGCTGTAATTAAAGTTTCAAACGATTAAAAACTTGACAACCCTATAATGGACATTGGTCATCTGCCCTGTTTTTTATCATTCCATTTTCTGTGATTGCTAGATAACGACTGTTGTGATTTAGGGAGTTTAAAATTTAAATTGAATTTAATGCGTTTCAAAGCTCTAGTGAAAACTGAATCCTCTGCCTGCTCCAGGTTAATCTGATTAGTGAAGATGTATGTAAACTTCTGTGAGCCAATTAAGAGATCCTTTATCTGTCCCACAGTGGGGAAATTTCAGTGTTGCATCACAAGTTATAGAACAGAAAGAAAGAGAGCACAAGATAAGCCCAAGTTAGGGCTAACTCTAGCATCAATAACAAGTATAAAAACTCAATATTGAAAATAATAAAAACAGGTGTAAAACTTTTACATTTGTCAATATTGAGGACTAAAAAGAAGTCCGTTTCAGATTCTACTGGGGTTGCACTGCATGTAAACACATAAACCAGATTATTTTGAGACAACAGCAGTGATGTGTTTAGGAGCACAAGGAAAAGCCAAACTTGAATTAAAAATGTATTTGGACGGGTACAAGCGACATGTTGTTCTCAATCAGGACACAGTCCCTTGCTCGTTTTCTTACGTAAAGCAAAAACTAAACTAAAAAGTATCATTGTGCTTTTAAGAGCGCTGCGGAAACTCAGTGTGAAAGTCAAACACTCAAAGTAAACATGCTGTGTTTCACTTCACAATCTGAAACTGTAGGAAAATTAACTTTTTGGGGATTTTTTCAGAATTCCAATGGTTTGAAAGGGGGCTGTCAAAATGATGGCCCTACGAGTTCTAGTGTACTTTCAGAAACTGATCAGTCACCTCTCGTGTTCGAAGACTTTCTGGAAACCTCCGGCACATTTGTTTGAAGACACTTCCTTCATCCTGGATCTGGACAAAACACACATCTTTAATATTGTGTTGAGAGAAAATAAAGGTAAAAGAACCTGACAGAATATATTGTACATGTGTGATCATTTTGGCTTCAGTCATGAACTGGAGTTTGTTTTAGAAGGTGAAATACTCATACATTTAAAGACTTGAAAATCACTAGCGCAGAGCTCAACAAAGACGTTTTGTAATTCTCAGTTTATTAGGGGCTACTTTTGTCAAGCCCTGAAGTTAACTGTCTATTTTAAGAATTTTTATAGGTGAAGGATAATAGCCCCGTGCACTGGACACTTAGAGACAGATGCGTGGAGATCTTACAAACTGCCTAAATATGTCTCTCTCTTGGGGCGCCCTTTTTGCCACGCCTCCCTGCTTCTCTGCAGGCTCAACTGCGCACGTATTCTATATGCCGCAGGTATGATGCTGTGGGGTGAATTGAGGGCATTCAAACAATATAATAATACCGTTTTCTCCTAGTGGTTGTCCTGCTCCAGTTCTCATGCAGGTTAGTCTATTCCTGACTTTGGTTCATAGTGGTAAGCATAGGCATTATAAGTCAATGGTCAACTTAGTAGTTTGAAGTGAGTCCAATATTTTCACAGTCAAGGGAGGTTAAATCCCTAAAACCATTTAGGGCCGTCCCCAAACCCGAGTTGTTGCTATTGTGGTCTCAATTCAGGCTGCCTGCCCTGAGCATTGCAGTGGCAAGTCAAGGGTGAGCAATAAAAATGTCCTGATTACTGGTAGTAAACTAAATCTTTAATGTTTCAGCAGTGGTGTGGGCTTGTTGAATCCACTTTTACGTACTTACTAGTCCTCTCATCAAAACCAACAAGGTAAAAACGTAAAATTGTGTAATAAAAAAATAATGTGAAAGACCTAACAGGCCATATTATTAGCGGTCCTTCCTGTGAGTCAGCCGCCATGCTTCTCCTGGCCTGATATCGGAGCGCTCACTTTCGTTTTGCCTATACAGAGATTTTCATACGTTGGACTCTACCTTGCTCATGAACTGTGTTGGGCAAGTTACTTTGAAAAAGTAATTAGTTACAAATTACTCATTACTTCTAAAAAAAAAAAAAAAGTAATTAGTTATAGATGCAGTCAGTGATTTTTTTCCAGACGCATTTTTTTTAAATATTGTGGGAAAACGTCCCTAAACCCTAAAAGAAGTCAAGTTATCATGTATTTTCAAATATTAATGGAATTGACCAGATTAATACATAATATTTTGGAGCGGACCAATAAAAATAAACCAATGGGATTCGTTAATCCCCAACAAACGGGGATGGGTCAACTCCCTTCACCCTCTTCATGTTTCTTGCGAGTACACGCACCTGAGTTATTGGATAATTTTTAAAACCTTAAATGGCTAAACAGAAAATGCCAATTTCATATTTGCCACCTACTTTCCCTGTTGTGACAAAGAAAATAAAATGCTGGATGTTTGGTTTGGTGGAGAGGCAAGGGGAGGGGTGAGTGGTTTAGGACTGGCCACGTCCCTCACAGCGATGGATACGAGAGGCGATTGAAATCAGGAAGCGGAGCGCACGGACCATCAACAGAGACGAGGGGGCTTTCACCTTGGCTCACAAGCTTGGGATTCACTTCTCTAGAGACCACAATGCGTCGAGGGACGCGGTCAGTCTGAGAGATCTGTGAGATCTGTCAGACTGACCGCATCCATAAATATGCTCAAATGGCAGAACATTAACATGAAAGTAAATGTAGCCAGTGCTACTGCTGTAACATTTCTCCAGATAGTGTTGACTCTGCAAGTGTTTTAAGAAGTCGGCTGCATATAGTGAAAATGGTGCACATCTCACATAAGCACCAGCAGTACACAGTCTGTGGTTCTCCTGTTTTCCTCGTTTTCTCAGTGCAGTCACGCCTATCTCAGTGCAGTCACGCCTATCTCAGTCGCCACAACTTCTTCTTCTTCTTCTTCTATGGGCAGTTTCAAAATGGCCGCAGGGGCTGGAAAATGTGAAAAAACGCATCTGCGCATGCGTCAGCCGGCACGCGCCCCGTTCATTTAACGAGTGCCTTCAAAATTTCACAACGACTAAACTAGAGTGGTCCAAAAAAATTCACTCCCCTCAGCATTGACACACATGTGGAACGGAGCTTTGGGCCAAGAGCTGACTTTTGGATCATCCTGTAAAGACGTTTTCGAGAGGTTCGCATTGAATAATTATTTTTCCGCGTCCAACCCCATCGGCCCGGGGTGGTATTGCAAGCATGTCAGTGCACGTCATTTTGGCCACTTTTAAGCCGAGACCCGCCCCCACTGGTGCTTACTCAGGTTTGATGTGGAGTCCTTTGCTATTTTTCTTCCCACGCAGTTTACAACGGACGCTGATACTTTTGTCACGGCCGTCTTGTACTCAAACGTGTTACTTTTATCACATTACTAACCAACACTGCTCATGAATCCCTACGGTAGCCTCAGCCACCCTAGTTTTAAATGGGTGATAGGGCAATTTTAACTTGTATTGAAATGAAGTTTCTCTATTGCAAACAAACAAACAAAAAAACACTGAATAAATTAACAATGAGGGCAATGCCAAGGAATAATCAGCCAACTTAATAAACCACAATTATTTTGTACAGAATGGAGTCTGGCATTTCATTTTCTTTGTGAAGTTATCAAATCTGCGTGTCTTTGGTACATTCCATGGTGTTGCTGATCATTCATTTCACTCATTCATTCAAGCATTTCCTTTTGGTACATACATTTAAATCTATTGTCATATCATATCAATATGCCACATTAGCATAGTATTTACCTAGTTCTTTAGCGTAGCGTTTCTAGTGTAGTTACAGGTAGTCATGTAGTTTAGTTGTGTGGTTAGTTTCATTTAATGAAGAGAATAGAAGCACTGTATTCTGTCCAGATCTAGCAATTTAAAACTAAATAACATTCGTTAAGAGCCACTACTGCGATTGAGAATTCTGTGGAGTAGGTTCAGCTGTCTAGCTATACAATTAACAGTGTGTGTAAACAAACGTGGAATGAGAATTTTTGGTGTGTAAACTATTGCTATAACAGAAAAGACAGGAGTAAGGTTGGGCACTGGTGTTTAGTTGATCTTTGAAGGTACTCTGTGTAATTTTTACAGTTTCTCCAAATGAAAAAATAACAATAACAAATGTGAACTTTCATATTTACCTCCAACATGTTTTTGAATTGTTGTTATAGACTTATAATTTGACTTATAAATGTCCGGTAGTTCCTCTTATTAGCATCGATGGAGCTATAAACAATCAGGAACAGTTCTTTTAAAACAGCTACTTTTGTACAGGTGCGTTCGGAATATTCCTAATGAGATGGAGAGAAGTGCCAATATTGTTTTAGATCAATAAAAGCAAAGTTACAGTTTTAAGAAAAGGAACCTACATTTTTTTCATAGAGTCTTATATAAGTAAAGTCTTGGTAATGATTTTTTTAAATCAATAATAATAACAACACAAAATAACGTTTAGGAACATAGAATACATAGAATTAAAAACATGTTATCTTGTGTAAACATTACAGACAGAGCTGATTGGCTGGGTGAGGTTGGCCCTTTCTTTCACTTTTCAATCGATTGAACTGAATAATTCTGGATTGCATATCGCTTAACTCAAGGACCGTTCCAGCAAGTGTTTGAGCACGTCTTCAGTAAACTGTCACAGTAAAGGTACCACTTACACACAGAACAGAAAATTGGCTTTTACTCAGCAAATTTAACCCAAATAAACACCGGTGCTCCATACGAATGTGAATGAAACACAAGTATTATATTGTGTTTCATTAGTGTGAGTTGAATAGAAGTTAGCCTGTTAGCTTAAGTAGCTCTATCTGAAAACACACTCTTTCTTGTGGTGTGTAAACTTCACACGTTGTGCACAAAGTGAGTCTGCAGATACACGCGTGTTTAATACCTCTTTAATTGAGTTATTCAGTTGAAATGGATGGTTTGCTGTTGGCTGCAGCTGCAGGCTTCACGGCGTGCAAGAGGGTAAAGTCCGCACGCACAGAAGTGACGTAATGACGCCAAAAAAATTGTAATACCAAAATGTGGCAGCTCGATGGCGCTGTTTTACCTTATGGTTTTACCACTATTTGAGAATAGAGAGGAAAAGAGGGGTAGCAAAGAGGAAAAGAGGAGAAAGAGGATAAGATATACTTTGTCTCCCATAGGAGACGTTCGTCTTGGACAGGGGTTCACATGTTTGTGAAGGAAGGGAGAGAGGAAAGGTGAGGAGGAGAGGAAAAAGGAGAGTGAGGAGAGAAACACAAAATATATTAAGAATACCCAAAACTATAATTACATTGTTTGTTTTTCATGGATAACTTTTATTTTGAAATACATGATCACATGTAACACTAAAGACAATTGTGAAAACAACAAAAACATTAGGATTAAAGCTGCTCAATCCTGTACAGCATCAAGCCCAAAAGGGCAGCACAGCCTCAAACTCTGGAACTGCTCCTAAGTTCCAGACTTAGAGGTGGCTACACCACCTCTGCTGTGACCAGTCCTCCTGCTCCACCCGGTGGCTGCATCACCCCTGCTGCTGCGTCCTTCTTGACCGTGGAGGATGTCCGGGTGGAGCTAAAGAAGCACCAGGGGAGGAAGTCTGCTAGGCCTATCTGCTATGAGATAACGTCAAGGCTCCTGCAGGAGCCTCTCCATACCATATTTAAGAGTCTTCAGACTGGATGTGTCCCTGCCTGCTGGAAAACTGGATCAGGAGAACATGGTAGTGGACGACACGGCCCTCTATATGCTCCATCAGTCCGTGGATGGCCCCGGAGGCTTTGTGAGGCTGATGTTCTTCGACTTCTCCAGTGCATTTAACACCATCCAACCTCGCTTACTGAGGGAGAAGATTGAAGTTGAGCCCATCTTTACCAAAATGATTTACAATGACCTCACTGTGAGGTCACAGTATGTCAGGTTAGCGTCTGAGACAGTTGTGAGCAATACGGGAGCACCACAGGGTA